CGTGATCTAAAGACAGGCATAGTGGGCGTGGTGGGGCGATTTAGTCAAAGAGTTCCAGAGTTTCGGGGCACAGTGGCTGAATGCACAGTGGCTGCCGATGGTGGAGCGGAGGGGACGAAGGTCATGCAGAAGGCTGGACCAAAGGCTGAGCGAAAGGGGCAGGTAGAGGTGTAGGATGTGAGCAGATTTGAGAGGTAGGAAGATGAAGTGATTTGTAGACGAATGTGTGAGGATCTCGATATTGGCAAAATAGTCAGCGGCATAGGTATGTGTTACAGTATGTCCCAAATAGTTAAATACAGGAGGAAAGCGGAGAACATAATGAATGGGAGGCAGAGGGATAAACACCCTGTTTTCATGCAAGTTGGCAAATTGCCTCGACTTCCAAATTCCCCAGGCTGGGAATTAGCTCGCCTCAAAAGAGTAGGTTGAATTTTTCAACCCGCTAATGAACTCTCCGAGCTTGTTACTGTGTGATGTAGTAGTTAATGATAGACCACGGGAGAAAAGGGCACAAGGTCATCTCAGGACGCTGAGGATTTACTGCAGCTAAAACAATAAAGAAACTCTTTGTAAGTGAGCAACTCGTTCCAATCATATTCGAGTTTCTGGCAAGATAACCCCTTTTACAAAGCGTAAATATTAGTGTGCGCCGAACGTATCATTTCTCCCATTCGACTTGTCTCTATTACACTGAGAGCTTGTGTAAACACAGCATCAATAATTGCTGCAGCGAGGTAAATGTTCATGGTTCACGAAGAGTGTAGAATTCTACGGTGGTGTCCGTAACACATGCAAACACTGTAATGTGTATCAGAAGAAGGAACCTCCAACATGGTGCAGTAGTTTGATCAAATTTTCATAGTGGCTTTAGGTTGACTGGTAGGAAACCCATGTTAATGATTGTACATAGTGACACAGAGAGAATGTCTCAACTTTATGAAAGTCAGCACACCTGGGTGTGAATTTATCTTCCAGTCATGTTAGCCTTACAATAATAATAATCCTCACATTTGATATAGAGCCTGATCACGACGTCGAGACATCTCAAAGCTCTTCACAGAATATATTGTAAAGTGGATTGACTGGATTTTGTTGGTGAAATGTGGCAGCCAATTGCGCACCCCAGTGTCCCGCAAACAGCCATTAGTATTACAGTGACATTAATGTACCTACCTTGATACCTACCATCGGTAAAGTTTGATGTTACGTTTCTTAGATATACTGCAATTATACTGTAGTTGCAGATTGACATGTAATCAATGTGCCACACAGAGTGCAAGACCGAGGTTGAATAATGGAGATGTGGGGATGGATGAATATTCTGGTTAGCTTTGGGGGAAATCAGAAGTCTCTGTTCAAAAGGTTCTCTGGAGATATGTAGGTAGGTCGATTGGCTAAGCTTTGTGTGCTGCGTGGAGAGTGCTTGAGAAAATGGCTTTCTTATGCTGCAATCTTGTATGGAACCGAATGGGGTTAAATCTGCAATGTTTCATAAACATTACTTATGGTAACCATCACAAGAAATGAGCTACAGAAGATTACAGTTTCACCCCAATCTTTCATACCACAATTGCATTTGATGTTTGACATTTATTAAGATTAATGGATCTCTGCAGGGATATTAGAGAAGCCGATTTCAGGATAATGTATACAGGATGTTGTTCTTTTAATAACAAAAATATGGTTCCCTTACGTTTAATCTCAGCTTCTCTCTCCGGTACGTTCAGCTTCTTTTCTAGCAAACAACTGCAACAATTTGGATTTATATAGCGCCTTCCACGCCGGACGGCATCTCAGAGCGCTTCACAGCAACGGATCCCGGGGCCGAGCCAGGGGGAGGGGGAGGAAGGTGACCAAAGGTGCAATCAAAAAGAAAGGTCTTCAGCAGAAACCTGAAAGTAGGAAGAGAAGGGGGGAGGCGAAGTCATTGAGGAAGGGAGTTCCAGAGCCTCAGGGTATAGTGGCTGAAGGCACGGCTGCCGAGGGTGGAGCGGAGGACTCGGGGGACGAGGAGGAGGCCAGACCCGGAGGAACGAAGGCAATGGGCACTGTTTTGAGGAGAGAGGAGGTCAAAGAGGTAGGGGGGGTACAGAGAAGTGGAGAGATTTGAAGATAAGGGTGAGGATCTTGAAATTGATCCTCTCTGGGACAGGCAGCCAGTCAGTCTGGCAAGGGCTGGGAGCGGAGTTTGGTGCGGGTGAGAATGCAGGCGGCAGAGTTTTGAATGATTTGGATTTTATGGATGGTAGTGGAGGGGAGGCCAGTGAGGAGGGCGTTGGAGTAGTCCAGGCGAGAGGTGACAAAGGCATGGACCAGGGTTTCAGCGGCTTTTGGAGTGAGGTATTGGCGGAGACGGGCGATGCGTCGGAGGTGGAAGAAAGCGGTGCTGGTGAGGGACTGGATGTGGGAGAGGAAGGATAATTGGGGGTCGAATCTGACGCCTAGGTTGTGTACGGAGAGTTTTATGGGGAGGTCGGGTAGGTGGAGGAGGTGGGAACCATGAGATTTTAGACGTTGACGAGAGCCAAAGAGTATGGCTTCCGTCTTGTCAACGTTCAGCTGAAGGAAATTTGCACTCATTCAGCCCCTGAGGTCTGACAGGCAGCTGACAGAACATCAGGGCACTGGGGGTCGCAAAGAGAGGTGGAAAAATAGAGTTGGGTGTCGCCCGCATGTCTACGGATGGCATCCCCAAGAGGGAGCATATAGATCAGAAAGAGGAGGCTGGGGTTTGAGGGATCTAGAGAAGGTTTTTTGAGGAGGGGAGTGATGACAGCAGTTTTGAGGGGGGCAGGGACTGATCTGGAGGAGAGGGACATGTTGATGACGCCAGCCAATAGTGGGCAGAGGAGGGGGAGCTGGGTGACCAGCAAGTTGGTGGGGAAGGGGTCGAGGCAGCAGGTGGTGGGTTTCATGGAGGTGATGGTGGGTGAGAGGGAGGAAGGAAAGATGGGGAGGAAGGAATGTAGGATGGTAGGAGCAGATGATGGGGAGGGTGAGGGGGACAGAGAGGGCATGGTGATGGGTGACAAGAGGCAGGTGGATGAGGCTGCCTGGCGGATGTTGTGAATTTTAGATAAAAAGAAGTCCATGACCTCTTCGCACTTGGCATTTGATATGACAAATATATGAAGAAATTTTTTTTTACCCTTTGCCTTAATTTTCCTCAGTGTAAAAATAGCTTGGCAAAAGATCAAAGCAATGAATGGAGACAGACTTAACTGGCGGATTGTGCGATTTATTCCACATTTAATTATTTTTTGTTAATCTTTGCGATCAAATATCAAATAGTCCTGTTCACAATAATCTGGAGAACTGACATCTCAGCATATTGGCTTGAGTTCAAAATGTGGTTCAAGGTTACTTTCATGAACGTTCTGTCAAATTAAGTGTAGAAAGAATATCTAAATCTGCAACACGTACAACATTTTTTTGTACTCGCTACACCAAGAAGCACCATTCTGTTGCTTTCAAAGAATCTTAAACTACGATACCTCTTAAGTAAACAACCTTAATCTTATGGAGATACCCAAAACATTTTAGTGAGGCATAAAAATTAATGAATGTTTGAAGTGAATTTTTATATAGTTAGCTGTGTTATTCTTTCAAAGATAGCATGAACAAACAGCTTTGATATTAATTTGTTGCAATCAACGGATCATAGTCAATGCAGTCCAAACCAGAGACTACCACCGAACATGTGCAAGTATTTATATGTTGTGAATAGCAGTGGTTTAAGGAGTGCACGGTAGTGATTTGCATCCGGGGAACGTTAATGAAACCAAGCTGCCTTTTTAAGACCAGAAACAACCACAACTTGCACTTATATAGCGGCCTCCATGCTGGGTAGCATCTCAGAGCGCAGTGAGTGGTATACAAGTATAGAATACTTTGCCACAAGTGTCGATCGAAGCTGAAACCACTGAAAGGGGAATTGGAAATGTTCTCGAAATGAAAGGATATGAAAACTGAGAAAGAGGTGGGAATTCAGATTAGAGTAGATCACGTCCTTACAATGGAGGAGCTGGTATCTGACTGGCTCAATAGCTCTCGTGCTATGATTTTATGACAAACACTGCACCATCAGTCATGCTGACTGTCTCACAAGTTGCTCTTGTTAGAACAGCAGAGCTTCAGGACCAAAAAATAAAGGGTTTACAAATGTCCCTGATGCCAGTGTCTTACCAGACCGTGGAGTAGACTTACCTTATTAACTTAAAATTTCAAATTGTTCGGAATTTGCTAAAATTCAGTTTCAACTTCGAAGCCCACTTTCATAGTTCTTAAAAGAACGCACAGAAAAATGACTTTGGAATGGAAGACTATATTGAAGAATATGACAAATTCTGAACACTTTGGAATGCTACGTTATTGGAGTAAGTGTAGACCCAGGTGGAATCTTACCCCACATATGCCTAAAATGAGGAGCGCTAACTCACTTCTCCAATCCTAATTGTTCACCTTAGGGCCACTGCGACATTGCTCCTTCCACCAAATGAAACCTCTTCACTCTGTTAAAATTCAGTGCAATCAGTTCATTGCATAGATGCCTTCTCTTCTGTTCTGTGCCAACATTCGCAATTACGTGAGCAAAAGGCCATGAACCTATAACCTTGTTCTTCTGATTTACAGTTTACAGTTTAGGCAAGGGTTGTGCTTGAGATCTATCATATTAACAAATAGATTTTCACACTAATAGTAATAATAGTAATCCTTGCATTTGATATAGCGCCATAATCACGTTGTGATGTCTCAAAGCGCTTCAAAGAATATACTGCATAGTGAATTGACTGTATATTTTGTGGGAGAAACTTAATTGAAATGAAATTTGATTGAAATGAATAAATTTGTGTATTGCCAATGGTCCATTATCTCTTTGTTACCCAGTTGATTGCATTTCGTATTTAATTTGCCCAGCGATAGCCACCACCGTTTGGAACTAGTGAGTTACTTGTTATTCATGCACTCGCTGTTTTTCTACTCATTGACATTTGCAGGCTGCGATTCAGGATTTGGAAAGACCATCGCTCAACATTTTGATTCCATGGGCTTCAAAGTTTTTGCCACGGTGCTCAATAAAGATGGGCCGGGTGCAATTGAGCTTGTGCAGATGTGCTCGGAGGAACTCACCCTAATTCAGATGGATTTAACCAAGCCTCAGGATATTGAGAACGCTGTTCAATTCACGAAAGAGAAACTTGGTGAAAAGGGTAAGAAAACTGGATTTCATTGTTGGACAAGTATTGCACTTTTGATACAATGTTAGAATGATTACATTCATCCACTAAAAACAGCAACCGAAGCCCTAACAGAATGAAACACTATAGTCTTTAATATAATATCCTCTAACTAAATTCTCTGGGGTTTTACAAAGCACAACTTGACAATAATTGGAAACAGGCCGGGACTGAAAGCAATCTGTTATCCAACACACATTTGTGGTTGTGCTGATGTAATGTGACAGATTATGGTAGGTTTTTAAGCACTGGCGTGTTCATTTTTATCCAAATGGCGAGACGGACATTAATTTATTGGAGATTTTAAAGATGTTGAAAAGTTGAAACCCCAACAATGTTTGTAATAGGATTGTGCTCAGACCAAAAGATGGGATTCAACCTGTACTTGTGGGAGAGCCTTCTCCACAACTGCCTTAGAAAAAACAGAAAGCTTATGTTTTCAAAATATGTCCAGAGAGATTTCATAATGACATGCACAACTCCAACATCTGGATAAGAGCTATTACGATTAAATCATGTTTTCTGAGATTGGGAACAGAAAAAGTACCATAGAGCCATCGAAATTTGTGGCCAGAAGACGACAATTCGGCCCATCGTGTATGTGCTGGCTCTGTAAAGAGCAATCCTTTCAGTCCCGCTTACCTGCCCTTTCCCCATGCACTTTACTACTTCTTTAACTAGATATTTATCCAGTTCCCGTTTTATCTGGATTCTACCTCAACCACCGCTCCCAGCAGGACATTCTGTACCTTAACTACTCTGCTTGTGAAACAAAATTCTCCTAACCTCCCCATTTGCTTGTTTGCTACCAATCTTAAATTGATGCCTTCTGACTCAACGAAGAGTGGAAATAATTTCTCCCAATTCACTCTATCCACTCATCATTTTATTAATTCACCCCTAAAGCTGAAGCAAACAAGCTGAAGCAAGCAGCGTGCATAAAGATTTACCTTTGACACAGTTTGTTGAATTTCTCATCCTCTGTTTTTGCATACGCAGGGCTGAACCCTGAGAACATAGTTTGTTTTTGTACATGATATTCACGGGTACATTTGGTGGTGATCTATACAGATGCCGTGTCCTTATCAGATTGTGGTTTACACTTCAGTTTGACTGAACTGTTGATACCTTTCTGATTATAGCGTTTCCTAGAAAAACTATAAGAACGACAACATAAGGTCACGAGACACACGCAACTTTTGGGTTTGCAGCTGGTGGAACAAAGATTTTTTTTCTTCAGCGTAAAAGCAAGTGGAGTGTGTTTTTACCATTTAATTTAATTCCACTTTCCTCTGTAATAAACAACAACAACAACAAGCTTGCATTTATAGAGTGCCTTTCACGTCGGGAGGACGTCCCAAGGCGCAGGACAGTTGGGTCAGGACCCGAGCGTTGGGGGGAAATGGTCAGGGTGAGGGAAGGGAAGGGAGGGAGCGAGGAGGGGGTAGAGAGTTAAGAGGGGAGCTGAAGGCACGGTTGAAGAGAAAGGTCTTGAGACCGGCCTTGAAGGAGGAAAGGGAGGAGGCGGCGAAGGCACTGAGGAATGGAGTTCCAGAGCCTAGGGGCTGAGAGGCTGAAAGCCCGGACACCGATGGTAGGGCGGTTGGGGCGGGGAATGTGGAGCAGACCGGAGCCAGAGGAACGGAGGGTACGGGCAGGTACGTGGGGCGATAGTAGGTCGGAGAGGTAGGAGGGAGCAAGGCCGTGAATGGCCTTGTAGGTGAGGATGAGGATCTTGAATTCGATCCTCTGGGGGATGGGGAGCCAGTGGAGGCGAGCGAGAGTGGGAGTGATGTGGTCCCGAAGCCTGGTGCGGTACACGAGCTGCAGAGTACTGAATGACCTGCAGCTTGTGGAGGGAGGTGCCGGGAAGGCCGACGAGGAGAGAGTTCCCATAGTCCAACCTTGAGGTGATAAAGGCGCGGACCAGAGTTTCAGCAGCGTGATGGGTGAGGTAGTGCCGTAGTCTGGCGATGTTCCGGAGATGATGGAAGGCAGTGCCAGTTGTGGTGCGGATGTGGGGAAGAAAGGACAGCTCAGGGTCGAACAGAACACCGAGGTTCCTGACCGGCTTTGAGAGGTGGAGAGTGCAGCCTTGGATGCTGATGCTGTCAGCGCCTGAGGTGCGGAGGCGCTGACGTGAGCCAATCAGGAGGGTCTCAGTTTTGCGCACGTTGAGCTGAAGAAAGTTGCCTCTCGTCCAGGACTCGATGTCGGACAGGCAGCTGTCAGGACATCGGTGGTCGTGGAGTTGAGAGTAGAAGAGGAAAGAGTTGGGTGTCATCCGCATACATGTGGAAGTTAACCCCATGTCTGCGGATGATGTCACCACAGGGGGAGCATATAGAGGGTGAAGAGGAGGGGACCGAGGACAGAGCCCTGAGGGACACCGCACGAGACAGTGCGGGGGCTGGAGGAAAAGCCGTTTGCAGAGACAAAATGAAGACGGTGGGAGAGGTAGGACCTAAACCACTCAAGGACAGGGCCTTGAAGGTTTAGGTGGGAGGACAAGCGGTGGAGGAGGAGAGAGTGGTTGACCGTATCGAATGCGGCCGATAGGTCGAGGAGGACGAGGAGGCAGAGGGAGCCCTGGTCGCAGATGGTCAAGATGTCATCAGTGACCTTGACCAGGGCGGTTTCCGTGCTATGGGCAGCACGGAAACCCGACTGGAGGGGTTCGAAAAATGAGTGGGTGGAGAGGAAAGAGCGCAGTTGGGAGGCGACGACTCTTTCGAGAACCTTGGACAGGAAGGGGAGGTTGGAGATGGGCCGGTAGCTTGATAGCTGCGACGCATCAAAGGAGGGTTTTTTCAATGTGGGAGGGATGGTGGCAGTTTTGAGGGGAATGGGAACAGAGCCAGAGGAGAGGGACAGGCTAATAGTGTCTGTGAGAAGTGGGGCAAGGAGGTGGAGCTGGGAGATAAGGAGTGGAGTGGAGATGGGGTCCAGGGAGCAGGTGGTGGGTTTCAAGGACAAGATGAGTTTGGTGACAGAGGGTGGGGAAACGGGTTCGACAGTGTGTAGGGGAGGATGGGTAGGAGTCGGAGTGTGGGAGGGAAGGGGTGGGTGGAAGTTGGAGGGGCAGTGACCGCGGAGCGGATTCCCTTGATTTTGGATTCAAGGAAATCCAGCATCTCCTCGCACTAAAGGTTGGAGGAGATGACCTGCGCAGGGTGCCGGGCGGGATGGAGGAGTCGGGATGTGGTGGAGAACAGAAGCCTGGGGTTGTTCTTCGCCTCCAGGATTATCCTGGAGTAGAAGGACGACTTGGCCAAGACTAGAGTGGAGCGGTAGGTTTTGAGGAGGTCCAGCCAGATTTGCCGGTGGACCGTTAGGCCAGATTTTAGGCAGGTGCGTTCAGCGGCCCGCACCTGGCTCTTCAGTGAGCGGAGGTGGGTGGTGAACCAGGGGAAGGAGCGAGAGTAAGAGACAGTACGGGAGGTGATGGGGGCAAGAGTGTCGAGTGTGGAGGAGAGGGTGTTGTGGAGGAGGGTGAGAGCAGAAGAGGGGTCAGTGAGGGATGAAGGCCAGAGGGAGAGGAGTTCAGAGGACTCCAAGGCAGCGCTTAGGGATTGTGGGGGTAACTTCTTCCAGGGGCGGTAGAAGATGCTAGTTTTGCTAGTTTTAATGGTATGCTTCTCCCCCACCTCCCAGACTTGTGTTGAATAGTTTGTTAGGAAAATCTGCCTGAAAGTCACCAGTCTGTCTCCTAATTTGGGAAACAGTAAAGAAATAACAGTGATTCTTGTATGTGTTATGGGGCTTAATAATAATAATAATAATCCTTGCATTTGATATAGCGCTTTTCACGTCGGGAGGACGTCCCAAAGCGCTTCACAGAACACACTGTAAAGTTAATTGACTGTATATTTGTGGGCGAACACGGCAGCCAATTGCGCACAGCAATGTCCCACAAACAGTCGTAGATTGAAAATGACCAATTTATTATTGTTTTGGTTTTGGAGGGATTATTATTAGGCTCTGTGTGGAGTAAGGAAACTTGCCCAAGGTTTCGCCCTCTGCCTGGAATTGAACTCAGGTCTCTCACTTGCAAAGCGAGTGCTCTAACCACTGAGCTACAGGACTCCACTGTACAGGCTTGTCACATCACAGTGTCTAAAAATGCTACACAAAGCGAGTTACTTTGAACTCTTGAGTTATTTTGATCTGTACCACAAAATCTTGCTGGAAAGCAATAAATCACCAATGAATCATTTGGTAAATAAGAATATTGGCCAGCACACTAGAAGAGCGATGCAAAGGGAACATTTCGTCAACGTCCACCTAAATCATGAGGACGGTTCTGGGTTTAATGCCTCACCCCAGAGACAGAGAGCTTCGCATTGCTGCACGCCCTAAATGGATTGGAGAGTCATCTTAGGTTATGATCTCAAGTCCTGGCGCAGGAGTTTGATGAGCTTGTTACCCACTGAGCCAAACAGCCACAGAGAGACTTCATAGTGCAGCAGAAATGGAATTTTTTTTTAATTTAAAGAATCGGAATGTAATTCTGTATCTTAATCCCCTCGCTGTTGATTCACATGAGGGTCATATTCCAAATGGAACACAAGCAGAACTGTTTGCCACTTAAATCCAGCTATTGTAGCAGCTCGAAGGGGAATGGGGATAAGACAAGGCTGTGAAATTGAATGGACACCTCGCTCTGAGAGCCGGTGCAGACTCAATCCGCCTGCGCCATAACGTCCATGATCTCTAGGTGTAGAGTTACAAATTTACATGTATCCAATACATATTTACATAGACCCATACATATTATGCTTTATATTTTCATTTTAGGCTTATGGGGTTTGGTCAACAATGCCGGAATCTGCATTAATATTGGTGATGCTGAGCTCTCACTCATGTCCAACTACAGAGGCTGCATGGAGGTCAATTTCTTTGGTGCCATTACCATTACCAAGGCCTTTCTTCCTTTAATACGCAGAGAAAAAGGCAGAATCGTAAACGTCTCCAGTCCAGCAGGTAAGATGGATCATTTTCTCCCCCACCCGACAGATCTCCTGAGAGGAGAGATCTTATTTTACATCACCTGTCACATGTGTTCACTTGTGAATTTTCCATGTATTTATGAGGGTAGATTCTGTTATATTTTTTCCCAGAACAATATGTTCAGATACATCAAGGCAGCAGAACATGAGGGCACAGGTTCAGGGTTGTAAAGGGCAGTAACCAGGAAGTATTTCTTCACCAGGGAGGCCAGGGCACTGGATTCATTTAAGAAACAGATTGCAGCTATAAATATTTTGGGTTTCACCCACAAATTATACATTATACTTTACAGTATATTCTTGCATTTGATATAGAGCCTCATCATGTCTCGAAGACGTGATAAGGTGCTATATCAAATGCAAGGATTATTTCATAAAGGGAGGGTGACATAGTGGGTATTCTGAAAGGATGTTATTGTGAAACCTCTATTGTGATCATATCATTCAGCACAGAGAAAGGAAAATTGGAAGGTGGAGAGTCTCGGTTGGGTGATATCTGATGCTTAAGATGAATTGTCAGTAGCCTGGAAGCAGATAATGTAATAGTTCTCTTGGCTGAAGATCTCAGACCAACTAAGGAGAGAAAACAAGGGGAAGATGCAGAAGAATACAAGGCATAGGATCCCCAATGATCTGCACGTAATGGCACCAGATGGTACAGTATTGGACCATACAGAAAGGGTAGGGGCAAATCCCAGTCTGTGCTGAGTTAACTGATCTTAGTAAGTGCTACAACTGGACTGACAAGTAACATCTGAAGTCATAAAATATATTTTATGCTATAATATGTGATTATTTCCAGGAGAAACTCCGTTCCCCTCTTTTGCTGCATATGGAGCATCTAAAGCCGCCCTGACCCTGTTCACAAACATTTTACGTCAAGAGCTGAACTTCTGGGGAGTGAAGGTTTGCACCATACTCCCAGGATTCTACAAAACAGGTAGGTGCTTGGCCGAAAGACAGAAAAGTATCAGTTGCTCTTTGGTAAGTCTACATTTGTTGGGATCAGCACAGTGAATTTATGCCTACAAATAGTCATTATATTTGACAGCAATTACCTGTAAATAATTTCCAACGTTTGCCAATATAGGAGTTACATCAAAAGCCAAGGATTGTTATTAGTGTTCAAACGTGTGTATACTCAGCAAGATGTTCCAAGAATATGACTGAATATGAGCTAAGTAGGTGACTTGTTCCCACCTGCATTGTAAGAGTAAGAGTTAAGGTAGCCCAGAAACTAATGCTTGCTTTGATGCACATTGAAGCTGTGTTATCCAGGTACTGCCCAACTTTGCAATTAAGTTGTCACTAAAGAGAATAACTTACTGAAATAAGTTTACACAAATCAACGGGTGGACTACCTGAAGTGGTCAATATACAGAGTTCTGCAGCCTATTGGTTAGAACGCTCGCCTCACTAGCGAAAGGTCAATTCCCGGGCAGAGCGAAACCTTAGGTGACCTTCGTTACTGCACACGTCTCTGTTTACCTAGCATTAATTAGGAACAAAATTGTTAGTCAATTGGTGGATTGCTTTCTGCGGTAATAATCCCTTCAAAAAAAAATGTAAAAAAATTTTCACGACCGTTTGTGGGACACTGCTGTGCGCAATTGTCTGCCGTGTTTCCCCCACAAAATATACAATCAATTCACTTTACACTATACTCTGTGAAGCACTTTGAGACGTCTCAACGACTTGATAAAAGCGCTATATCAAATGCAAGGATCATTATTTATGTTTGGGCTCAATAATGGAAGAAATGGTGAATTCGGCGTAGGCCAGGATTACTGAAGAGCCAGCACTTGCCTTGTACAAGAGGGGCCTATTAGAACAGAAGGTGGTTGACCCTATTTCCACTGGAATAATTTTCAACTCAACAGCCACAGCATATTTCCTACTACAAAATAACACTACAGAACTTAACAATTCCTGTAATTTACAGGGCTTATTGGAGCGATAATTCACACTGAAGTGCTGAAGATCGACACACAAGTGTAAGTCTTTTCCGAACAGTTGGCAGCCATGTGTGGCATTAATTTACGGTGTGTGCTAACCCAGCAATCGTTGAGTCCCACAAAACAGGCAATAACCCAGTTCTGACAGTCCATGTCTCCTTTCACATATTACAAGAGCAATTTACAGATGAGATACAGCATTCACTTCAACCCGAGCAAAAACAGTTGTGCGATGTTTTAATCAAAGATTTGGATCCCGTATGATCCTTGAACACGTTTTAATAACAATTACTCTGGGATGTTATAAAACAAATGGTAAATCCTGATGGCTTTATGAGTTTGATATCGGAGTTACATCAAAAACCAAGGATTGTTTAGTTCTGAAAAATAATTAAAATTTAAATTTTCTGATATTTGATGTAAAGAAACTCAGAATTGATTTTTTAAAGAAAAATTCTACAATTTTAGCGCTGTATGTACATCAACAATTTTCATAATGGAGCCATTTACCCATTTACCCACCCTACCTCTGCGATCTCCCCACCCAGTTGTTCCCTTTCCCCAGCAAACACCAGCTCTTCTCTTTCAAGAGCTAACTCTTTGACTGCACTTTAAGTCATCTTTTCCTCACTCTTCCCCTCAAACAAACTCCCTCAGCTCCCTCTCCCAGTTCAGGTGGCCAGCCGCCAGTGTCGAGTGCTTTGAGATGTCCTTCCAACATGAGAAAGGCACCGTGTAAATGTAGAGAAAACACAACAATATTGCCAGACATGCCGCAAATCAGGCATCCAGCCTCAGCAGTCGAAAGGTTGGACCACCCTGAGCTATGAGATAAGTATACCAGGCAAAGCTCCAGTATAAAGTTCAACTCATGAACATGTCTGGATTCACAGCACCTCGACTTGTGATTAACGGGATGGGGCAGGACAGTTTCACTGAAAGATTGCAACACGCCAGTCAGTTTCTGTCTTTTATCCAGCAGCGAGGCATTACTGATGTGTCATTTTACAAGTTACACATTGCGTTGCACACCGGCCAAAACCAACACGTCACGAGTGGAAAAGAGGTGAAAGGTCAGCAGCAATCCACATTATCCCAAATTCCTTTTTTATTATGTGCTAAAAGGATTTACCTGATTGCGTTACAGAATAAATACACCTCACTGGTGACTGCGAGTAGTCACCGTTGGTAGAATTCATGAAAGGCTTGCCAATGTCTTCACCAGTCATTTTCTGGAGGTGTGTGTGTGGGGGTGAGGGGAGGCAGAGGGATGATTTCTTAAAAGGGCCATGTAAATGAGCATTTTTTTGGTCAGCTGAGTGCCTGACACATTGGAAAACCCATAGCCATGTTTAAGAGTATGCAAACCAGACAGCGATCTCCATGTATGCTACCTACATGTGGAAAGTCCCATCTAGAATAGCATAGTCCCCAGTGAGACAAACCCTGCTTTCCTAATTCTAGGGAGTATTAGGCGCAGGCTGGCAAGAGCCAAGGCTTGGGGACTCCAGAGTGTGCAAGTGTGCTTTGCGGTTATGCTAGAGTTTAACCAGCTAAAAGTGCATAACATGTCGTTGAGAGCACTGTCTGGCAAGCTTCCCACTACTTATCCAGCAAGGACCACGCTTTCACTTGCAGGGTTTACAGGAGCTGAGTGAGAAGAAACCCTGTCCCCAGTAAATAAACACAAAGTTGTCCCGCACCCAGGAAAGCGTGATGAACCTGCTCTGATATTGAGAGCAGCATTCCAAGTCTAGGACACTCTTGTTTTTCAGAGTTGAGAGTTGTTGAAAGAGATATATATCAAGGCACTAAATCAAATGCAAGGATTAGTATGAATATTATTATTACTTAATGTAATTCCATCGCATTTTAGGATTAGTTTTCCAAGTCTGTTTTCTGTTAAACCCAATATAACGTTACAATTTTTTTTACAACTTTATTTTGTGTGCTGTGCAGATTATATTGGGAATATTTGGAAGCAATAAGCTAGGTCTCTGAATGATCGGAAATCCCAGCACGATATAATTTGTGTTACGGGAAAATTGGTAGAGATAAAAAAACTGCCTCCAGTTCTAAATTGTATTGACCAGGAGCCAAGCAGAATTTTATGTTGGTTCGAAGTCAGAAAAGTATAATCTCTCTCTTGACCCAGAGTTAAAATCGCTCAACTGATCTCCTAATGTTCCTCCTGATTCAAAGGAGCAGAGTAAGGAGCTTTGTGGCTAATTGTAAGAGCTAGAGATCGGACAGAATGCCAAGCTGTAATGATTCACAGGAAATGACAAACATTACCTTACCTGTGGAAAACATTTTGGGGCCAAACAATGAGTCAACGAAACTGCTTGAAAATCATCTGTGCGTTTTGAAGTTAGTCCCAAGTGAGAAAAATAAACATTCCCCAAAGTTATAAATGAGGCAGCATCTCAAATGCATTGCTCTCTTCATCCATTGACTGCTAAAAGTGGCCTCTCCATTAACAATTACACCGAGCTAGTTCATTGCTTTGTTTTCACCAAAGAGGATTAGAAAAAAAGATGTCAATCAGCAAAAAGATGTTCATTATTTTTGAAAAATGTATAGGAAATCCCCATCTTATGGATTCTTCTCCATAGTGGTGGATGGAGGCAGGGAGGCAGAGGGTGACTGGAAGGGTCCTGAACTCTCTCTCAATACTCTTGCCAACCTTTTAATGAAAACTTTAACCAGATGCCACTTAAACATATTTTTTTAATTAAAAAAACTATGGTCATTTTTAAACATTTTTATTTTTTTTACACTGACGGGCTTGGTTCCATAAGGTGACCATAAAGCTTTTTACAGGGTCATAAGTTACTTTTATTGCAACAGAGCATTTCTTCAGATTGCTGAAGTGCAAAAACAACACACTTCCAGTCATCCAGATTTAGTCCCTGAGCAACAAGCAGCTCGTCTCCACATTTAAAAAAATAACGTCTACTCTCAAAGCACAATTAGAGCAGAAGCATCATCTGCTGTCTCCAGGCTCAAACAAACATTCGAGACGTTGGGTTTGGACAACAGAGGTTTAATGGAGCACAGGCCTTCGACTGGATCAAACCATTGCTAGAGAGAAGCTGGAAGCAGCAGAGAGTCAATATGTGGAGGCTAGGGAGAGTTCAGAGGACACCAGGGCAACTGAGGGGTGATTGGGATGTTGTGTTTTATTGGTTTTGTCCAGGACAAGAGATAAACCCTGTCACCGTACATTATGTGGCGAATTCTGCGCACAATGGAGTTCCTAATTGACTTAATTCCATTTGCCTGTTCGATTGCTGACACAGTCAATACATAGGAATAAAAGATTATTAATAGATGTACAACCATAAGGATACGCATTGATCACCTTGGGACCCAAGAGAGTCCAATACTGGTGCATAAATGTTCCCACCAACTGACTCGGCTATTAAGAGTTTTGTCTAATTCTGTAAGGAGCTCATTCAATTCGGACCAGGATTTGTACATTGGTTTTCTAATACTGATCAAATATTCGTGTTTCCTTCTCATTATTGTTTCCAAATATTACTGTTGGTTTTGGCAAGGTTAGGGTGAACTCGGGATTTTCAGGAGCAATACGTACTGCAAAGGTGTTCCAATTTATTACACTAAATCATCACCCAGTTAACTAGGAGCACAAGACTTTACCAAAAGTGGAGATGGATACCTATTATTCTGTACTATCAGTTCAGACAATTGGCTATTAATCAATACCATGAGTCAGGGCGTGAGTTACTGAATGTCTTCCCAGGGATTGATGTGAGACCACTGCTCTCTGTGACATATTTCCAGGGAGTCCGCATACTCCCTGCTTCTTCAGAGTATGAAGCGTTCTCCTGACATATAAGATATTGGAGTGAGACCAGAGTTCTGCCGTCTGCGTATTTCACAATTTTGGTCTATTTGATTATCCTGCGTCAATTTGCATATCATACACAGGTGTGGATGATTCTGTGATCCAATCTTGATTCCAACATACAATCAAACCACATGCCAATTGGTGTTGTGTAAGATATTTTTACTAACTATGATAATATAACAAGATGTGTGTTCACGATAATCGCACAATGTAAACTTTGCAATGAATCAATCTTAGCCTTTGAGAATTCTTTTACAGCATACTCTAGTAGTTTCAAATCTTGCATCATCTTCAACTATTCACCCTACCCCTTGTGATATGGGTACAATAACTTGTTGAGCCAGTTTCATGTCAAAGTCTATATAGCCTCTTTTTACCTTATTCAGAGTGTGTTTGTTCCACAAGGCCAGTCCAGTGTTGTATATGTTCAAGGCTGTACCCACTCCTGGACATGGGGTTAGGGCAATATCAGAATTGCGTTCACCTGATCAGGGACAGGATGTCTCCCTTGAGCTATGACACGATAACCGAGAAACGAACAGAGTGGGTCAAAACCTGGGCCTCGGACAGGCTAAGTTTCACTTCTGCTTGTACTAATACTGCAAACAAAGATCATAAAAAGTTGTAAGTGTGTTTCTGGAGTCTGCAGACACAAGCAAATCATCGACATGAAATACTAACTTGGGGTTCCAACTGAGACGGGTCAAGGATAAACCAAAAAGGAATGACATAAAGCAGGGCTATTGTGAAAACCCTGTGGTACATAAGTCCATTGTATGGTACATTGCTGGAACACTAGGGCAAAGGTAAACACTAATTTATATTGTTTGTGTGAGCAGACAGGAAAAGTCCAAAATCTATGTATAATGTCAAGGGAGGGGATGTTATATAAAACATTAGTCATATTCTGTACCAGCCTGGCTGTTAACTGGGTGGGTGAGTTATTTCAGGCGGCGGAAATCAAATGTTAAGATCCCAGACAGGATGATTACATGTGGACTGGCAAGGGCACATCTCACCCTGCTGTAGGAGGGAATTAACTACAGACTGGATGTTACATTCCAGCTCTTTGGGAAAATGATGCTGTGGAATTGGTTTCGGATCTGGCCCTTCTATTAAAATAGAGGGCATAGATGACTTGCCACAGTGAGATTTTGCCAACAATTCTTCATACTCGTATATTAGAGCAATCACTTCTTCCCTATTTAAATGATCTGAAGGTAGATTCAACTTGTTGGGAGAAATCAGGACAAGTTACTTTATGTGAGTTTGTGGTGAGTGAATGGATTTTCCGAAGCATCAATTACACATACGGGATGGAGAAGACATTCTCCACTAACATTTGCAACTTATGCTACAATATGTGGTTGCATAAGTCAACAACCAGGCAGGGTGGGACCATTACATTGATGCCAATAATGACAGATTTAGGGAAGTGATATAGTAGGTGGAACCTTATCCTGACATTGTAGGGGCCTAAGTAGATAGGGATAATGATGTATCTCTTTGAAGGGTGAACCTTTCCTGTAAAATCAGATAGATTATTTAATTGTGGTTGGACCACTGTTCCCAGAGGCAACAGAGACCTGGCAGCTGTAGACACAGCTGGTTTAATCCTCTGAAGCAGAACAATGTTAATTCCTACATCACCTCCTCTTTAAATTTCTTTCCAGACTGAGACTTACAGTCAAGTAGGTCCACAATTCAGGGTATCATATTCATTTTATCTTTGTTAAGTATTCATTGGTTGTTTAAATCATACGCACACTGGAGATCCCTCTTCTAACAGAGTATTGATCCCCCTTCTTTCAGAGTATTTAATTTAATAATAATCCTTGGATTTGATATGGCGCCTTATAACATCTTCGAGATGTCTCAAAGCGCTTCACAGAATATACTGTAAAGTGAATTGATTGGATACTTTGTGGGCAAAACTTGGCAGCCAATTGCGCACAACAGTGTCCCACAGAGTCAAAGATTGAGTGAACAATTTATTATTTTTTTAAGGAATTATTACCCCTCGGAAAAGTGAGCTGCCAATTGACTAACAACTGGGTTCCTACTTGCACACACTCGTGTCTTTTTTGTTTGTCAATGTTTCAGTAGTAAATTGAGTAAATAGACAGGCATTGACTTATGATCATGATCATTTAATTTAGTAGATATCCCTTGTGGGCTCACTGCCTCTTTACGTAACTCATTTAAAGCTTGGGAACCGCATGTTGAGATGCACCTGAACTCGCTTCTTACATCTGTTCTAATTTGTTTCGGCCTGCATTCAAAGAGGTCAGCACAAGGTACAACTTATAAGGTACCTACAATCTTTCTTAGATCAGAAAACTTCAATCCCCCCTGCAGACAGACGATGTACTCCAGGAGTCTAATACCCTACAGGTGTTCTTGTGGCACATTTCATTGCTTATAATCATCAACCTGACTAACTTATGGACTGTATTTGTTTCAGTCTCTACTGTTCTGAGTCCCACCTCAGGTGCCAACTGTTGTGTTTCATTAATTTAGACCAGGACAAAGGATGAAACCTGTCACTGTTTCACTAAATCCATTTTAAATCATGATGTTCTGTGAGACTCAGGAACAGGCGAGTCAGAAACAACACAAATTGATTTAAAACTTTTATTGCTTCTATGTGCATATATATATATATAGATATCTTAACCATGCATACACATTAAGTATTTACTTCTTTACAACATTTCAGAAATATACAACATGTATGACCCGTCTCTTCTCTTCTTGACATCTCCCTGGACTGCAGTGAGATGGCAAGTACACAGCTTAGCTGCTTAGCACTGAAGCAAAGATGGCAGAAATGCAGCTTGATTGTATGACACGTCTGGCACTCAGTCACCTCTTCCTCGCTTACTTTATACCCTTGTTGTTGGCTTCCACAATGTCCTTAGCCATACAATCCATTGCCTTATTTGGTTAATCATTTAACACACATAACAAAGCAAAGTACAAGCATTCTATTCTTGATATCTCGTTAGTGTTTTGCCGAGTTATCACAAGAGGGAAAGTGAAATGAAGTCAAATAAGACAGAGAGACTCATGTAAGGTCAGGTAACATGAGGATACAGAGGATTGTTGAGCTCTTCAAGACATCGTCCCAACATGAAAGGAGCTTATATGATTGTAAATTGTGTTGTATTCCAAGGAAAAGGCAGGTAGCTGAGGGAAGAGACTGAAGGCTAAATATGAGGAGTGAAGAGAGAATAGGTAAAACTCTCATGGTGAAAAAGACCAAGGAAAGCTAGGAAAAGAGCAGGCAAATGCAAAGGCCAAAAGATAGGAACAAATGTGGAACACACATCTTTACAACTGAGTCAGAAAGGAACATGAAGGCAATTTATGCAACACCCTGTAACTTAGCCAATGACTTGGAGAGAGCATCAATGTGGCTGATAAGAGATCTGCACATTTCAAGCGTGACGCAACTCCACACACTTATTCACAATCGTGTTAATAATCCATTTCAGAAAACTTGGGGTGGTGGGGTAGGGTAAACAAATCACACTGGTTTAGTTTTCACAGACAGTGTTACTAGTGATAGGCTATGTGGTTTTAACCAGTTAAAATCCACTGCTCTTCTGTTACCAACCTGCACCAAATACATTCCAGATTACACAAAGGGAAATTTCCATGCATATGTGGAACTCTGTTTCTTTTGGATACTTTTAAGCATCGTGTTGGGTTTTCATGTGTTCCAGAATTTTACAGCAAAGGAGGGCAGTTGTGTCACCAAATCTGTACTGGCTCATCCAGTGGACCCCTCTAATCCCATTCCCCCTTCATTATCTTCCTTCAATAATTTATCCCATTCCCTTTCAAATGAGGTGATAGACCAAATTCAACAGCTAAAGTTGTGGTAAACATTCCCCATTCTAACACCCCTCTGTGCAAATCTTTCTTCTAGTTATTCTGACCTCGCCTTATTTGCTTTTGGTTACGATTCTGTGATTCTCAAGTTCTGCCCTTTTGTTTCTGACTCAATTAATAGTTGAACTGAAATTTGTCTTTCTCCAGTTATTGAGTTGAAACCTTTCATAATTTGGGGGAGAAAAATTATCTAATTTATTGTAATAATAACAATCCCTGCATTTGATTTAGCGCCTTATCATATCATTGAGATGTCTCAAAGCGCTTCACAGAATATATTGTAAAGTGGATTGACTGTATTTTGTGGGTGAAACCCGTGGATTGAGTGACAAAATTATTATTATTATTATTTTTTTTAAAAGGAAAGCAATCCGCCAATCAACTAACAACCAGATTCTTACTTATTGCTAGGTAAACGGAGATGTGTGATGTAAGGAAACTTGCCTAAGGTTTAGCCCTGCCCGGGAATCAAACCTGGGTCCTCTCACTCGTGAGGCGAATGCTCTAACCAATATGCAAGAGTACTCTACATGATTGTACAATGCCATACATCAGTTTTCCTATAATGGAAATTCTTGGTAGTTTATAGTCTTCAATTATTCTCATGTCTTGTTTTTCAGCTAAAGTACAGGATCATACACACTGGGAGCAACAAAACTGTAATCTGCTCAAAAATCTCTCTTCGGAGTTGCTCCAGGACTATGGAGAAGAGTATATTCTGGAGATAAAGAACCAATTTCTGAAACGTATACACTTTGCCAAGGAGGATTTTAGTCCTGTGATTGACAGTATCACAGATGCTGTTCTCTCAACTAATCCGAGACCAAGATACTATGCTGGAAAAGATGTCATTATTCAATATATTATTCTCAATTTTTTACCAATAACAATAAGTGATTTACTTTTCAACAGATTCTTTATACAGCATAAAATTTTACCCAAGGCTTTGCACAAGTAGAGAAACCCAATCTACGAACATGGAAAGCATCCCCCCCACCTCCACCCCCAGTCTATAAGTATCCTAATAAACTGTTTTGGTAACTCTCAAAGCAAAAGTGACAAAATAGTAGTTTGTTGTAATTGAGGGCAGTGAGGTATGGTTTTAACATCAGACGATTTGTACAGAGATTACACAAGAGTGCATAAAAAGCAAATTTGAAGGAAATACCCTCACTAGTGGTAGATAACACTGCAGACCTGAAGCTTGATTTCCTGCTTGCATTCTTAATCTAGCTCTAATCTGTTATCTTATTGTGAATTATGTTGCATCGTTCTTAAAATTCCTATAGCATTCCACTGTTTTATGAGTTAACCATGCTACGTCCTCAAGGGTTTTGTTTTGCAGAATATGAGCTCCCAAACAGAAGGTCGGGTTGGTCTGTTCTTGTTTAATTTTGGGCAGGCAAAAATATGAGTTAGCAATGGAACAATTATATTTTTGGACCATCATTTTTTGTTGACTCCTGTCACAAATTCTACTCTCAATTCCTCCCTCGAAGGTGCTGACATGTGTAGGAGATGGTTCCACACGCACTGGACACCCACCCGAATGGCCATTCTTTATGCGTGACCCTTGATACACATCTATTCTCACTGGATGACCTCCCTCTACAAAAGCACTTATATTTTACCTCAGTTATTCTGTTAAGCTGAATGGCGATACATGTGCCATAAACTCAAATGGTGATGCTTATTCCTCTTCAGTGGTGTCCAGTTAATCAACGGATATATATATATACACACATATATATATATATATATATATACACACACATATTGGCGATATCCTCGCTTACCACAGTGGCGCTGTGCAAATTTTTTAATCATTTACTGATTCTCTGCTTTGAATGTCACTGGCACAAAAAAACACTTATGCTGGCTACAGATAACAAGGTAACTTGGATACACTGCATTTAAGGGATATTCAAATACAACACAGAGTTATAATAATAATAATCCTTGCATTTGATATAGCGCTTTTCACGTCGGGAGGACGTCCCAAAGCGCTTCACAGAATATACTGTAAAGTGAATTGACTGTATATTTGTGGGCGAACACGGCAGCCAATTGCGCACAGCAATGTCCCACAAACAGTCGTGGATTGAAAATTACCAATTTATTATTGTTTTTGGTTTTGGAGGGATTATTATTAGGCTCTGTGTGGAGTAAGGAAACTTGCCCAAGGTTTCGCCCTCTGCCTGGAATTGAACTCAGGTCTCTCGCTTGCAAAGCGAGTGCTCTAACCACTGAGCTACAGGACTCCATGTTGCATTTTGTATAGCCCCTTTCACGTCAGGAGGATGTCCCGAAGTCCTGAATATTAACATTGGCTAAGAGCTTCAGTTAGTTGAAGCTATTTTTGTAGTTGTTAGATGAAGGTTAGGTGGACTACAACAGCAGAGCGTTCTACTTTGGCCATGGAAAAAGATAGATCAATGGTTTGCCTGTTTACAAAGATCCCTGCCCTCTAATTGTCAACATCCCCCAAACAAGCGTGTGAACTCCACTTCACTCTTTTAGCTGGAGGAAGTTACAAGCAGGTCAAGTCATTTAACAATAACAATAAGCAAAAAGTTTAAGGGAAGGGGGGGGGGGGGAAACAAATTAACATTTTGTCAGATATTTCTGCTAAAGAGCACAAAATCTCTCTTATCTCTAAGATGAGGCCAAATTGAGTTTATGGAAAATGGTTATAGCTAATTCAGACATATTGCAGTGTTGTGATTGCTCAGTTTCTTGGATACGATCTTATCCACAGCTTTGATATTTTGCAAAAAAAAACTTTTTTAGGATTTCCGTAGGGTCAGTTGCTGTTATTTTTGCATAGAGTCCCAACTGATTATATCTTTATATGAAATAATTTGTTTTCCTTCCAGTCATCTCCTTCAATTTCAACCCACAGCCCCACCCTCCCCCAAAAAAGCAATCATGCTTCTATCTAAATATAGCTTTCATCTTCATTTCCCATTAATGTTCAGCTGCATCTGTATTTCCATTGCCATTTTCTTTAAACTGGAAAACACATTAATTTGAGAACATTGTGATTGTGTCTAAATGTGAGAAAACACTTTTAGGGCATTTCACAGAAAACAACAATGAAAACACAGGGGGAGTCTGCTTTTATGAGTTGCTGGAAAGCATGTGGGTTCAATTGGTGCATTACACGCTGCCTTTACTGTCCAAGGAATAAGGAATAACTAAATGTCTTACATCAGCAGCACTGTTAGACTTTTAGCACTGATGAATTTATCTGAAATGAGAAAATCTGCACCAGAAGTATTGAAGGTTTAAAATATTGCATGAATCCAATTACCAAATGGTATTGATGCAGTAAGAGATCCCTAAATACTATGCAAAAGGTTGTCTTGACTGACTATCTATATATATATATATATATACACACACACAGAACTTGCATTTGATAGTGCTTTTTCACGTTTTCTAGACATCTCAAAGCGCTTCACAGAATGTACTGTAAAGTGGATTGACTGTATACTTTGTGGGCAAAACACAGTGGCTAATTGCATACAGCAGTGTCCCACAAACAATCATGGATTGAAGTGACCAATTTTTTAAAAAATTTCTTGCTGGATTATTATCAGGCATGTGAAGTAAGGAACTTGCCCAAGGTTTTGCCCTGCTAGGAATCGAACCCAGGTCTCTCACTTGCGAGGCGAGTGCTCCAACCACTGAGCTATGGGAAAGTGGATGAGATTAAAAAATTATCTTCAATAATTCAATATAATTTGAAGTAAAATGGAGGTAAACCTTCAATATGAGCTGTTATACTTCCATACAAATACTGGTTATTTCTGAAAGGCTGAGACATTGAGCTCTACGCTGTATTATCCTTTGGTGATCCTCTGCGCTGTCTAGCCCTTTCTATAGGGAATTTTGTGAGTTATTATCAAGAACTATTGTAAGTATTTCTATTCAGAACCAGGCATATCAGCACTTGTGTCCTGGAATGGTAACAGAGAGCTTTCCAGTTGACAAAATCTAACACTTCCACAACTGGGTTGGTTTTGAAGATTCTGAACCCCTTTGTCACTGATGTAAGTGAATTACTGTAGTTTCTTACAAAGACACAACCTGGATTATTAAAACTAGGACCGTCTCTTGCCAGTCAAGAAAGATTAATATCAGATAAATATCTTGATGCAAAAATACTTTGTATTTACCATATTCCTGTAAAAATAACTACTGTTATGTGTCTGCAGGTGTTGACTTGACTTAGTTGGTTAATACTCTTGCCTTTGGGTCAGATCATTGTAGGTTCAAGCTCCATATTGGAACTCGAGCTTTCGATTAGGCTGTTGATCCGGTGCACTACAGGGGGAGCAGTGCATTGCCCTTCAGACGCATCGTTAAGCCAAGGCTGTCTTCCTGTTCAGGTATACTTTAAAAAATCTCACGGCATTATTCGAAGAGAAGGGAGTCGCTTCTGGTGTCACGACCATTTCAATCCTGCAGATTAAACCGATCATTCACCTCCAGACTGTTTGTGGCGGGTAAATGGAAAACAGTCACTGCATGTGACTGAGATTCATTTTACATTATAGGCTCGATAAAAATGTTCTCTTTTCTACCTTCCACAATGACAAAACACTCCTTTTCTACTGAACGTCAGACTCTGACTCTGTCAGACTCCGTAATATCCTTTGTCTGAGATTTCACTGAAATGCTTTGAATGCCGATGAACTAGCAACTTGGTAAAAGTGAAAACTATACCGAGACATTTCAGAAATTGTAAACAGAATAAGATTGGAAGTAAATGTGAATAAATGACGTGCAAGTAAAGGCAAGAATACTCATTGACAAATATTATGGTTTTAAGGTCTTGACCTCATTAACTTTATGGTCCTATCATGTATACTGGTTATACATTTGATCCTGTTTATATATGTATTAAATGGTTATTCATTTGTCAGTTTTGAAATACGGTAATGTTATAATTCTATTCAAAGGTTTTTAACATCTTGTTTTAGCCAGCTCTCTATTGGCGAATATCTTGTGTTCACTCTAATTTTCTATTCCAGTGTAACTGTAAATATGACCAGTTAATGGCACATAAACTTCATAGATATGATGCATCAAAATGTGTTCCTTTAAGAAGCATAGTTTTGTAAGGAGTTATTGAAACAGTACTATTTGAGCAAACTGAATCATTGTTTATTTTAAAATCTAAGCAAGAAACGATCCTGATCATGTAAGTGTGTTTTAGCTTAAGTTGTCAAAACTGCAAATATTTTTGTTGTGAAACTAGTATTGCTTTGTATTCTAGTAGGCTGATTTTCAAAATGAAAATATATTGAGATCATATCCAATGCTGTAAATACAAATGTACGGTTTGATTAAAAATGGATTTGGGATTGGAGCTTCCAGAAATGCCACAGGAATGTAAAAATACTGAATACATTCATTAAAGCCTTAGATATGTTGAGGATGATTATTTGAAAGAGGAAAGGAAATGTTTATAAATATCCAAGATCCCACTATTTTTCTAAAAAGTGTTTTGCTAAAAAGTTATTTGTATCATAACATGCTATCTTAATTCAATCTTTTTTGTAACTGTTTCCTGACTTAAATAAACGTCTGCACATCATTCTATTCACTGTTATCTGCTGTTTCCCATATCTTGTTGCATAAATCTGTACACCACCACACCAGTTTAACTTTAACCGTAGTTAATTGAATAAAAATGTTATTTTTATGTAGTGTATCTACATAAATCTCTTCTCCAAGCTTTCTGCTAAAATTAATTTGACCCAAATTAAGACTTCTTTCCCAATCTCAAATTCTAAAGGGATTTCATAATAGTTTTTCCTTCCACTGAGATACACTCCCAGGGCATGCTTTGTTCTCAGCTACCTAACCCAAGTCATTCCTGTGCATGCCTTAATAATCTGTAATATCCCAATGCTACGTGACCCTGGGGACATTATAACCGATGGCAAACACAACAGGAAAAACTTCTCTTTTTCAATGTGTGTGACGGAATCTTTAACAGATTGAAAGGCAGGTGGAACTTTAGTTAACTTATCCAAAGGACAGCACCTCTGACAAAGCACCCACAATCTTCGAAAGATGGATTTGAGCTTGGAACTTTCAGGGCTGGAAGGGGAATTTGGGGAAATTCACCAATGCTTAAGGGCCATCCTTCTGATGAGATATTAAACCGAGTCGTACATCTGCCAATGTCCCGTTCAAGAGTTTATATCTAACGCAAGTTAAGTTAACTCATACTTTGCCGAAGTCATTAAAATGTATGGTCCAAACTAATACGGCTTGTGAGGTTTACTGTATATAGATACCAAAGAGATTAATTGTACCTTGTCCACTAAAAAGATCAAATACTTTGGGACAAAATTCTGTAGATCTTCATGATATTCTTGACCAAGGTCAGGGTCCAAATATTTAAGTGGTGGAAGACTTCCAAAGTTTCTCTTTGTAAACTCTTCTGTAAAAATAAATAAAAACCCAGACCACCTTTTAATAGCTAGTAAATGTTTATTGAGCTGTTTAAGAAGTTTTAGCTTAGGATAGTAAACGTAATGGAACACATTGGATGGTGCAATAAATGTAAAATAGAAAATAAGAAAAAAAATACTAAAATTAAATCTCTTCAACTGGTCAGTGGACAATTTTATAGACCAATATTTCACAATGCATTATTGAACATCTGGTCATAAATTTCTCACGGCAATATTTTAAATATTTAAAATTTAATTCCAATACATCTGCGAGGAAGCAGCTATGACTTTATTAGATAAAGGACTTTTTTTATCACAGATACAATATACAGCAGTTCAACGAGTCACAGATTTATTTAAGTTTCAGATAAATAGGTTATCGGAATCAAGACCTAATCATTACACTCATCTCAAGGGAGTCTTCTACACACTGCACTGACTTACCAAATTGCACATACAAATACTATATTCCAAGGCCTGCCCGCACTCAATTATCTATCATGTTTTTTCAATATCCCCATTTTAGGCATTAAAATGACAAATGAGAACTGTCTTGGTGAACACGGGCTCAGCCAGCACTTTTTTTTCTTCTGATTGTAAACAATTTGTGAGAAATGCTTGGAATACCACTAAAGGACCACATGCAGAAATTAGTGCTCGAGGAGCTATGACAGAGAGCATTACATCATATACATTGCGTCAACAGAAGACCTAGTACCACCTACTTAATGCAGTTCGGAGCATTTTCTGAAAACAAAACATTGCACTTACGAGAGAAAGATCTATCACCTAATACGGAAAAGTACTTATAAAAATTGTGATTCGAGTGTTTGAAGAAAGGTAATGTTGACCTAGATACTTTTATCTGCTGGTCTTTTAACGTTAAGTCTCCAATCAGAAGATGGCACTGAAATTAAACATATAAAGCACCCTGTAGGGTCCTGTAACAGTCAAAATCAGTGATCTGACTGGGTTTCCAAAGGGTCAGGTGCCTGGATAATTTGTACACAAATAAGTTTAACAGGCTTCGAAGAACCTTTCCAACTGTTGATACAAGCAGCAATGTTCATATTGTGACAACACAAACTTAAAAAGTGACGCACATCAATAGAGCTGGGACATTTAGAAACTGCAGCTGCAGTTTCTTAGTACAACATTACTTTTAAGAGATAGCAGATCACAAATAAGACAAGGCTAACAATGCCTTTTTAAAAACAAAAAAAATCTGATAAATATCAGGAATACATCCCAAGAAATTCAATGTACACTTTACGAATGAACGCACTCTTATTGAGCAAATCAGCACAGGGAGGTGAATGCAATTGGTACTTCAGATATTGAGGACAAAACGGGAATTTAGAAGATAGGAATGTAATTATCAATCTTGGCCCTGTGCCTCTGTGCAATACACTCTGCAATCCACACAATGTTCCTGCATTCCTGCTCCTTCAGTTTCACGTAAGCATAGAAGACTCCAAAGTGAAACTGGTTCAGGAATGCCAACTTGTTCAGCTTAACCTGGAAAACAATCCAAATTTCACTTTAAAATCATCCTTAATCTGAACAGGACATTTTTGCAAACAAACTAAAAACTACATTTGATGGTCTGAACACCTTCACCTCATTCTTTTTCTTCCCAGGCTACACAGTAGTAGACAAAGCTTAAAAATCCTCACAGATAGTTTACAGAACAGAATTAGAGAGGTGCTTCAGATCCCTATTCTTCTTAAACAGATGAACAACCATTTAGTTAAAATTATGTTCAAGTAAATTCTACAAACTTCCTGCTTCCAGACTGTGTTCACTGAGTAACACTATACAGCAATAAGAGCCAAAGTACACCAATACATACCCAATTCAACAGTTACAGTTAATTAAAAAAAGGATGTCTAGTTATGAATTATTCAACAACAAAAATTATATTTGTATAGCCTTTCACCCGGGATCCGTTACTGTAAAGCGCTCTGAGACGCCGTCCAGGGTGGAGGGTACTACATAAATCCAGGTTGTTGTTGTTGAGTAGGGACAGAGTGGCAGAAGGCCCACCTGCTGTGGGCAAGGCGTGGGACGTGAAGCAGGCTGGAGCCCGCTGAGCAGAGGGAGTGAGCAGGATGGTAGGGGGTTAGGAGGTCGCGGAGGTAGGGGGGGAGCAAGACCATGGAGGGCTTTGAAGGTGAGGACCAGGATCTTAAACTGTATCCTGAGTGTCGGACGAGGATAGGGGTAATAGGGTCATGGAGCCTGGTGCGGGAGAGGACCCGGGCTACAAGTTCTGGATGATCTGCAGCCTATGGAGGGAGGAGTTGGGGAGGCCAACAAGCAGGGAGTTTGCATAGTTAAGCCTCGATGTTATGAATGTGCGTATGAGGGTTTCAGTGGCCTGCGGTGTGAGACAGTAGCGGAGCCGGGCAATGTTGCGGAAGTGGGGGAAGGCAGAGTGGGTCAAGGCGCAGATGTGGGGTAGAAAGGACAGTTGAGGATCAAACAAGGCGCCAAGGTTCCAGACTGGCTTAGTAAGGTGGAGTGTGATTGCATGGATGATTCAACTGAAGAAAGTTAGCTCTCATCCAGGACTTGATGTTTGACAGATGTCTGACCTGTATTCACTTAGTTATAATTACTTTGCAGTTTGTCCTCAAGGAAATGTAGGAATTATAATAAAAAATTGCAAATGTGGCTAAATCACAAAAATGGTAGTAAGAATGAAACATGACAGTTCTATTTTGAGAGGCTGTAACTCACTTTCTGTACAAGCCAAAAAGTGCCAGAAGAGCAAGGCAAGTTATATAAAATGCCTGATCTTCCGTTCTCTTCGCCAATTTTCTTTTCTCCTCTTTCCTTTGACTGTGTATCGTGCCATGAGTGCTGGTTGTTCTCCAGTAATGTACTAGGCTATTCAATTGTGGGGGACAAGCCAGATTACGTCCTCAACAAGAACCTGTGGCTGATTTCCTCTCCTCAGGTCGATTATACGTTTCTCTGGCTGAGATCATTTAACAGAGATGTTATGGTTATATGGCAAAATGCTACACTGAGAAGTGACTTTACCCACTGGGTCATAAGGAAGAAGAGACTGGAGGATGATTCTGATCAAATGGTATTTGTTATAACTTGAATGGAAACGTGCATTCCAAGGTACTGTTAAGGAGGCTGGTCTTGCAGTTTCAGGACAAATCCCACAATTTGCAGACTGCAGTGCTGACCTGGCTCAACATTGAAAAGCATCTTGGATGCTTTTATAGAAAATTAGATACTTAACGTGATGAAGGCTAGGATTGAAACAGCTTGATACAGTGCTACAAAATGATGGAATGGTTGACTTTAGAATCTCTGGAAGAATGAAATCAAATGAGCTTAAAGGCCTTCACCAAAACCGTGATCTTAAATGAACACTAACTGGACTATGCGTGAGCCTGCAACTGAACACGCACGTGGAGCACAATTGTAAAAATGTCAATTTACGGCTTTGAAGTGAATGCCATGAAAGCATACGCACCTATCTATTGCCAGATGCTACACATGCCTTTCAGCAGATTCTACGAATGAAAAATGTGCAATCATTCAACAGTCTCTCTCTCTCTCTTTCCGCCCCTCTCCAGAGCACAACCATATGTTGGAAGCCTTAAAGGTGTGTCAAATTTTAATATCTATGGTCTATGAAGAATAGAGAGGGGGTAAAAGTCTACATTTAAAACCAGGATATACAAACTGACCTGACATGATTTAAATTTTGTTTCAAGGAGAATCTAATAGTTTGTGTTTTGTCAGTTCAGTTGTACAAGTAATCCCTACTTTGCAGATCAGCTGAAGCAGGAGTTGAACACTATTTTGTAAGAAATTTGTTAGAGTAAAGATCAGTGCAAGGATTAATATTTTAACCTATTTAATATTTTACCTCTTCAATATAAAGTGAAGGTTTACCCTGACTCTAGACTGCATCCGAAGTTCTAATATAAAAGATTCTAGTGGATAAAGGACAGGGAATAGCAAGTCACCAAACAAGACTAATGTGGTCGATCCTATTTTAGCATCATTGTTGAATCTTCATAAATTGACAGACCTCTGCTTTGAATGGTTGTTGTTGGTGGCGGGGGAGGGAGTAGGTTAACATCCAGTATGGCACTGGGGCAAGATCCCATTTTGTGAACGTAAAGTTCCTGAGAGGAAGGCTCCCTTACTTTTCTGCCCCCAGCAGTTGATCCGCCTTCTGAATTGCTGATGGGAGTTGGCCACCTTACTGCAGACATTCCCAGTCACTACTCTGTAATATAAAGAACATACCCCTGCCACACCACATTGCTATGCTGAGCTTTTCAGTCTGGTAATGCTAACTGTAATGAAGTACCTCATGTTCAAAAAATCTGTCCTCAAGTGTTTTGTCTCCAGGATTGCTTCCAGCTCCCTCAAACAGCAGTTTGTATTCCTGGAAAAAAAAAGTAGAAGTTTGAACTTCAAGTAAACTTGGGAGTGTAAAATGGAACCTGCTCTGGAATGAGTGAAATAAATGATAAGCAACAAAAATTAGAATATTAGCAATATTACATTACGTTCACATGAGCACAAATGTGAAGAGTTCATAGTCACAATAGTGTAATTGATCTAACTTCTGGAGCTTAAATGTCAACGACTTTTAGCTGTGTTGCAACACTGAAGGGAAAAAAGCAACTTTGTTAGAGGTTGGTACAGTACCACCGATGATTTCGTATTTAATGGAATTGATATGTTCACTGTACAATGAAAATGCTCTGCATTACAACTTCCAACTGACTGAACAGAAAAAGCAATTTGCATTTATTCAAACAAATCTTAGCACAACGACATGAACTATTCCGAGTACTTAATAAAATAAAGCTCATTCCACATATCAGATGGGACACTCTGAGCTCCACTTACTGGGTAATAGTCCGCCACAGTCTTCACCTGTTCGTAATCGTCTGCTCTGGCTAATTGAGCTAACCCCTCTGGGTAGAGTTTCCCACAGTGAGGAAAGAGCTTAGCTCGGTCTTCTTTAGACAGCTCTGTCCCAAAAGAATTTATGGTGATGATGAAAGCTCGCCTGTCTGCTTCGAACTTTGGCAGGGAAGAGAAAAAAATGTGTTCATTTCTGAATTTAAGCCACACTTTTTTTTAAAACATGCAATTCCCCACAGTAGATATACTCCAGTCAATCTCCAATTATTAAAACAATTCAGTTGTACTGATGATGGACCCGGTAATCAGAAATCGATTACCACACACAAAATGCAAACTATTCTCCCAGATTTGGGATGTTAAAGAATGAATTAACGCTTTAAACATTTTCAAGACAAGAACTGAATCCTTTATGTAAGATGCAACAACTTCATGAAATATTTATACTTTATGGATGGGATACACCAAAGAAATCAGGGAAGTGATATCCCCAGAATCATGCATTCATTTTAAGCTGAATCCAAGAGTGGCAAGCAATAAGGTGGAAGACACCAAAAGTACTTGGGTCTTTTACACTGCAGGTTGGCCAGAATATATAGAATTTTCTTCGTCCCCATCAAAACAAAATCATTTCAAATACCAGAAGAATGCTTTTAACCTTTACATTCAAAATATTACATTTCAGCAAAAATGAATGAGTGCTAAACTTTATTACAGGACGTCAACATGTATCTGAGTTTGAATTCTCACCTCCAGAATAGGACACATTGCGTCAGCTGATGTACCCCCCAATACCTTGCAGAACTTGTAAAATGATTCTAGATATGCCTGGAGAGTAAAGAAATGCAGCCAAGTCAATTTAAGCAGAATCAAGTTTACAAAACTATGGAAAACACAACCTGAAACGGCAAACCCCTCTTAAGATGCAAACTACACAATAGCTTTCTGATTAGATATTAAATTCAGAAATCAAAATTATACAATTAGTTTGCAACAACCCTAGAACACAATTAAATGCCAATAAGGTTCAGCACCGACCATTGTGTCAGACAGCCTCTGCTGTTAGCACTCTCGTCTCTGAGTCAGAAGGTTGTGGGTTCAAGCCCTACTTTGGGACTTGGAACTCAATTTGTATAATCTGACACTCCAATGCAGTATTGGAGGAGCACTACATTGTTGGAGATGCCGTCCTCCGGATGAGACATTAAGCTGAGGCCCTGTCTGCCTGTTCTGGTGGACATTAAAGATTCCAAGATGCAATTTGAAAAGAGTAGGGAGTTTCTCCCTGTGACTCAACCAACACTCTCCCAAATCCGAGTAAAATTAGTCATTCACTTCCTGGCCATTTGTGGGAACTCTGATACGCAAATTCGCTGCACATTTATAGTCTGGCACGTGATATATCATGCGACCAGCAGAATGGTGGAAGGCAAACTTAATGGACCTTGGTTTTCTTTCGCCGAGCAAATCCTTAAATTCTTATTTGATACAAGTTAGCAGCCTCCAGGGCCATTCACTCCTGGGAACTTAAGATTACACCTGGCTTTGTTGTAAAACTGACTTCATATCTGGCTTTGCTAAACTTAATTTTCTTTTGAGTGCTTAATGTTGACACAGGGTACTCACTGGAAAAGTATTCAATTTCCCTGGAATCCACATATCTTTATGAGCGTATGGTCAAAACAAAAATGTAACCGCGTTGCAATTACCTTGTATAGTGTGTTACGAATAATTTCAATGTTCATTTCATCAAGATCTTGTTCGGATATACAATCCTGGAAAAACGCAGCTGGAATGAAAACACAAATTTATACAAGTGAAACTAAGAAAAATCTTCTAGAAAGATTGATTTCTCTTTCTATATTAAATCCTGAGGTGGATAGGCTACAGTTTATCAATAGTTGGCTATAATATTTCAAAACAAATTAAACTATTTATCTCAGTCTATTATGTCAACTGTAGATCCTATCAGAACTGAGCTAAGCAGATTTATTCTCTTCCTAACTTTGATGCGTCTAGGCTATCATACCATAATCTACCATAATCATTTTGTGATGGAGTGCAGACTGTTTTAAGAAGGGACACAAGATCCTTCAACTATCTGTTCTTTTATTAATTGCATAGTTTTAATGCATTCTATTTTTATACAAGCAGCAGGATTTTATCCTGTTTTATCTGAACATTTTAACTGTTTTATCTGAACATTTCTTCTCTAAGAAGCTTGTAAAAATGTGGAAAGCTCTGCCCCAGAAAATTATACAGACAGAATCAATTTGGATGTCTAAAGGGAAGATCGATATTTGGGAAGTAAGTTTTATTAAGGTATATGAAGGAAGGACAGGGAAATGGCGTTCAAGATCTGCCATCACTTAACAATAATTATACTTGCATTTGATATAGCGCCTTATCACGTCTTCTGAGATGTCTCAAAGCGCTTCACAGAATATACTGCAAAATGAATTGACTGTATATTTGTGGGCACAACGCGGTAGTCAATTGTGCACAGCAGTATCCCACAAATAGACGTGGATTGAGTGAAAAAGTATTAATTTTTTTAAAGTAATTATTACCCCGGAAAAGTGATCAGCCAATTGACTAACAAACGGGTTCCTATTTACTGCTAGGTAAACAGGCACGTGGAGTAAGGAAACATGCCCAACGTTTTGCCCTGCTGGGAATTGAACCCACGTCTCTCGCTTGCAAGGTGAGTGCTCTAAACACTGAGCTACAGGACTCCAATAAACTGGTTGAACATGCTTGATAATAATAATAATAATAATCCTTGCATTTGATATCGCGCTTTTCACGTCGGGAGGACGTCCCAAAGCGCTTCACAGAACACACTGTAAAGTGAATTGACTGTATATTTGTGGGCGAACGCGGCAGCCAATTGCGCACAGCAATGTCCCACAAACAGTCGTGGATTGAAAATGACCAATTTATTATTGTTTTTGGTTTTGGAGGGATTATTATTAGACATGTGGAATAAGGAAACTTGCCCAAGGTTTCGCCCTCTGCCTGGAATTGAACTCAGGTCTCTCGCTTGCAAAGCGAGTGCTCTAACCACTGAGCTACAGGACTCCACAAAGTCCTTGATGAGCCTGGTGCTGATCCCATTTTTCTAAAGTGACTTTTTTTTATTGAAGACAAGAGAAGTTTACCCGTGTGAATGCTTTCATTTTGCGTTGATTAGTTTACTTACAGTATTTAAGTATTTATTTTTGGAGAAGGGATGTCAATACAGTTTGAAGATCAAAACCACGGATGCTTAGGATGTCATTGTTATGGGTTAATCGGATTTCCTTGCTACTCTTCAAGAGGCATTTATAAATAAAATCGTTTTTTAAAATACTGAATTCTCATTTACAACGTTGCAAAACAGTCTTGAAAATCTTCAATTTTATCCATCAATTTATAAAGCTAACATGCTGCAACGAAGGATCATCTGGTTTCACACACATTTCCTGACTGCAAATTCATCTCATCCTCTTTTTCCAACCGCATCATTACAATTCTTATTTCTTTAGACAATTTGTACTTCATATCATAACCTATATAATATCCAATAACAGTCACAATTGGTTACGTTGCATCTTCGAACATTGACCGTGGGTGTGCAAAAGGCATTTTCTCCTTCCTACATCCTTGTCACCCAAATTGCACAGAAAGTGTCAAAATTCAAATATTATACGTTTAATTTCTTTCGTTATGACATCGAAGGAGTTTAAAGTACATTTGCGTCTTACCTAAAGGTGTGTCAACCAAGATGGCATTGTAAAGTTCTGCTGGTGTCTGAGCAATATTCACTGCTTCCATTTGCTCAAAGCTGCCTAGAGGGTGGCACTTTGGAACCAGTTCAGAAATGGATCGCTGGTGTAGCGTTCCAGTAATCAGAAGAATTACATTATCGATCATGTAGCTGTAACTGGATAAAATAAGGTTGGAAAACATTAAGATGATACAGGTAAATAGTGAAAAGCTGGTGCACAGCTTTTGACTCGTTTGGTTTAGACCCAGTATATCAAAACCCACTTTGTGCAAGTTTGTATAACACTTTTGCTACATTTCATTTTATTGTTCCTTCAACACAAAACCAGTAAAACAAAAAGAAGAAACTTCCATTCCTATGGAAGCTCATAAGTTTCCAGCTAGGAGAAACAGCCTTTGTTAAACACATGAAGACATTTAGGAGGACAATATAATGCTGGAAATATTTTTAGACAGTTTCATATAATGACTGGGTAGGAATACGGGTAATTTCTACATCAACTTAGGTTTAAGTTAAAATCACTATGTTTGGTTTTCAGCTAAATCATCCTCAATGGTCCAAGAAGGTCAATAACTGAAAGAAACCTAATTATCCACTTTAAAAATCTAAGTTTGATACTGCTTTTTGATTAATTTCATTATCCAGATGATGACACGAATTCAAAGCTATATCCTTCCTGTGTGAGACCAGTGGCTAACGGCATTGGACAAAGATCTGAAAGAACACTTTTAGATTATTAATTTTAAAATGCTCTCTTTTTTGTGTTCCACCTGAAGTTATTCTACCTAAGGCACTTCACTGCTACTTCACCACCAATGTGCCTATTATGGAATACATACGTTTGCTAAATCTGTACATTGTAATGGTAGATCTATCAACATGGCAGGTTTGGAATGTGAAGTACCAATGATTTAAGTATGAACCATTTGGGGAGCTCTTTGCTCAGTCACTAACAAGCTGGGGAACACTTTCATAGCACGGAAAATGATAACACTAGAAAATTTGATTACGGGACTTTACAAGAAATAACACAAAATTCAATAAGGTTTGAAGAAGCAATATATTTTCCAAATAAGAAATAACGAAGAACATAAAGGTCCAATTCTCCTTCTCTTGCCTTCCACACTCCTCTTTTCGCTTCAAATACACTAACTAGAGCCATCTAAAGACATTCCTCTTCAATAGTGCCTTCGCCCACCATCCCACCCCACTTCCCTCCACCCCTTCTGACCCTAACTCGGGTCCCAAACCCCTGATTGTCCAGCGCTCTGGGACATCTTTCCGATGTGAAGGGCGCTATACGAGTATAATTTGCTGCTGTTGTTGACTCACGTGATGAAATCAAGAAAGCTGGCCAGTGGTTCATATGCATGATTCCTCATATGCCTAAACTCTACCACCATCTTCTCCTTCAGTTTGTCATCAATCACCGAAACAGTGAGTGGAGAGGCTTCATTTGCCAGAAAGTTCCCATAGTCTGTGCTCTGGAGATGGAGTTTTAGATCTGTAAAATACAAATCAGAATGTAAGCACGCTGGATTGCCATTATGCATCACATGAAACTCAAATTACTCCAACCCATCAAAATCAACTTATGGCCTGAAACAGTCTCTCTTAAACAATTCCTTAGGCTTAGGAATGCACTTTTACCTAAATGCAAATTTAACATTTATATTCTGTTAGCAAACAGAACATGGTGGCCATTTTATGCCCTCCCATTAATTTTGGAGGGATTTATTTTGCTAGTTTTTGGGGGTGGGGTGGGGAGAGAGAGTCCCAAATGAATTCCTTAAACCGTTTATTAATTTAATTTTCTATGTGCAAATTGCCTGCTGCGTTCGTCTACAGTAAAATCCTGTGAAGTGCTTGGAGAGGTCCTCCTAAGAGGAAAGGTGCTATATCAAATGCAAAGATTATTATCTAAATGGACTTCAGAATATCCATATCCTGCTGCTGAATATGGTGGACTGAAAACACAACTCATGAATCTTTTCATAACCATACATTCCAAGCATAGTATGTAGAGAAAAATACAATCATGATCATCATTAACTGAGGCAATATGGCTTATGATTCATTACTACACTTAAAACTGTGGTCCAATGTTCAACTCTGTTGAGATTTTGTAAAATTAGGTCAATTTACAAAGGCAGATTTTACAATCAAGTTACTTGGAATTTGTACAAACCAATTATTGTATCTGGAAAACACAGCTGGAAAGAGAATTGGAACTCAGATGTTACATAAAATATTCTGCCCAAAAGGCCAGTCATTCCAATTAAAGTACAAAATAAAAAAAAGCACACAATCCATTACTTCTTAGTATTTGGGTTTCTGCCTAAGTTCAGACCTTAAAAGCAAAAAACACTCTAAAGTGGATCCCTAGATCCTATCAGCATCGCTATGTTAACCTGTAGTCTACAGGCATTGACCTTGCTAGTACACTGTGCACTTGTATGTAGAAAGAAATCTATCACTCTATTCTGCAGTCTGTAACCAATAAAAACTAGCTTTGCTGTAATTCAAAATGTACAATTGAATGCTTTTGCTGGGAAAGGCAGCAATGGAGGTATGCAATTTCAACCGAATGGGTCGATTAAGATCTCCAAACCATAAGCCACCAAATAAACAATGCTTTAGCCTTGCAATGAGCCCAAGAAGAATCAATAAGGCAGCCAAATGATCATTTGTGCAGAGTCTGAATCGTGTTCACGTATTCTGATCCCACATTTCCTGTTGATCGCATTTTTAAAGACATTTAGACTCTGCCTCTTTAATTCCGGCATGCACTTCTCTTTAACATCCACCTGAACAACTGGATAGGACTTCAGCTTAGCATTTCATCCCAAGGACGATACCTCCAGCAATGCAGTGCAACAACAACAAAATTACATTTGTATAGCGCCTTTCACGTTGGGAGGACGTCACAAGGCGCTGGACAGACAAAGTTACGGACGCGAGCTGAGGGTCAGGGTGGGGGAGGGTAGAGGACAGGGGGGGAAGCAGGGAGATCGAAAGCACGGCCAAAGAGGAGGGTCCTGAGGTGGGTCTTGAAGGTGGCGAGATGGAGGGACTGTGGGATGGAGTTCCAGAGGGTGGGGACAGAGGGGCGGAAGGCCCACCGATAGTGGGGCGAGCAAGGCGGGGGACCTGAAGCAGGCCGGAGCCCGCTGAGCAGAGGGAGCGAACAGGGTGGTGGGGGTTAGGAGGTCGGGGAGGTAGGGAGGAGCAAGACCGTGGAGGGCTTTGAAGCTGAGGACCATGATCTTGAACTGTATCCTCTGTGTGATGGGAAGCCAGTGGAGTTGGGAGAGGATGGGAGTGATAGGGTCACGGAGCCTGGAGTGGGAGAGGACAAGGCTGCAGAGTTCTGGATGATTTGCAGTCTGTGGAGGGATGAGTTAGGGAGGCCGACAAGCAGTGAGTTTGTACAGTCGAGCCTCGATGTAATGAAGGCGTGTATGAGGGTTTCAGCGGCCTGCAATGCATTGAATCATATGTTAAAATAAGGTAGGTGACCGTGGACAGCCTCATTTTATCAAGAGGGATAGGCTCAGTGACTCTACTATGAACCCTTGCAAGAATTTTGGAACTGGAATACACATTTGTAATCAAATCCAAACCTAGGCTGCATGTTGCTGTAATTATTAGATTCTTGTATCTGGATTGATTATACTGAAATAAAAATTCCACAATAAAGGTTAAAATTATGACCAGAAATAAACTTCAAAATTGACTATTAGAGCAATATTTTGGCGACGTCCATTCTTGAATGGACCTCAAGTCAGAACCACCATTTCCCTAATTCACTACAGCTGAAGAAGAGTCTGTACTTAAAAGCATCAAAATGATCAGGGGCTTTAAGGGAAAAATAAACAATAATAATAATAATAATCCTTGCATTTGATATAGCGCTTTTCACGTCGGGAGGACGTCCCAAAGCGCTTCACAGAACACACTGTAAAGTGAATTGACTGTATATTTGTGGGCGAACGCGGCAGCCAATTGCGCACAGCAATGTCCCACAAACAGTCATATGGATTGAAAATGACCAATTTTATTATTGTTTTTGGTTTTGGAGGGATTATTATTAGGCTCTGTGTGGAGTAAGGAAACTTGCCCAAGATTTCGCCCTCTGCCTGGAATTGAACTCAGGTCTCTCACTTGCAAAGCGAGTGCTCTAACCACTGAGCTACAGGACTCCACAATTCCACATAATGCACCTTCAGTTTTTATGGTCACTTAAAATTCCACAAATTAGGTGATCTTGCAAATTCCTTGCTAGAATCTGGTATCCAACAATTAATCTGGCAAAATATATGAAATCACCAGTGAATTTGGGGTTACGCTCAGACCTAAACATCTCCAGTAAAACAAAAATGCTGTGCCTCAAGGCGACAGATTTAAAACAGTTGCTATAAGTAGACCAACGATCAGGATTTAAAACAAATCATGAATAGGGTTCAGCTTTACAATGTTTAATTTAAATAGTGAGCGTAGTAGAAGATTCAAGAGGCATGGGTGCACACAGTCGTTAGGACACTTCTCTCATCTTATTCTCATTGTTAATTTACTTTTTTTTATGAACATCAGTTGACAACCCAGCAGAGTAGTACCTTCATTTGCTTTCCTCATCTAGACTATTTACAAGACAATCTCCCAGATCTGTGCCCGACTATATTTTCTTTCCCTATCCAAGAGATGCAAAAATTGTACCTTCCCAGAGAGTTGGCAAACAACGGTTAACACGACATAAACGAAAATCACGACAAAAACCATCCTGGAAAACATGGCAAACTTACCACGCCACATGTGACATTTAACCACTGAGCAAATTTGACTTAAAATTCGTCAGTATCTTTTTTAAAAAATAGCGTTTAGAATCCTCCCTCAGTTTCCATCCACCCCCCCATTTATGACATCAATTAGTCAGGCTTATTATCATTATCCTGTACAGGAGTCCTGTAGCTCAGTGGTTAGAGCGCTCGCCTCGCAAGCGAGAGCCCTTTCTCGCAAGTGAGGTTCCTTACTCCACACATCTGATAATAATCCCTCATGAAAAAAATAATTATGTCACTTCAATCCACGTCTGTTTGTGGGACACTGCTGTGCACAATTGGCTGCCACGTTTCGCCCACAAATATACAGTCAATTCACCTACAGTATATTCTGTAAGGCACTTTGAGACGTCTAGAAGACTTGAAAAGCGGTATATCAAATGCAAGAATTATTATTATTGTTAATTTGCTGATTTTAATGGACATTAGAAATACACTAATATAGTACATTCATCATTTTTTCTCATCCAAACCAGTGGTTCCCATACTTTCCAAGCTCAAGGCTCTCATGACAGTAGGCATCCTGACTAAAGACCCACACTCGGGCTTCATGGGCTTACTGCCGGGCAGCGAGGCATGGCTGTTGGGAGGGCACAAGCCCTCTTGGCTCCGGCACAGATTGGCACAAAGTGCTTGGAGGCTGATTCCTCAGCTGTGAACTGTACTTGAGTTACCGTGAGCCTGCCTTTGGGTGGAGAGGTGGTCATAAGGATTCTCAGGTACATCAGAGCTCAGTGAGCTCCATGGAATGCAGTTTGGGAACCAATGTAGAATCTAAGAAATGTTGAGACTTGCTGGTTGGATGTTTTGGATGCTTATGCTTGCTGTACTTTTGCCTGATCTGATCATTGTGATGTGTATGTACTGGTTGTGCAACATAACTGTTGATGTGCTTTGGCTGGATTGAAAAGAAACATTTCAAGTATTCAGTTATTTATTTTTTCCAGCCCTCTTTCAGAGAACCAGAGTGACATCTTATTGTTTTGAAGCAACCAAAACTTCACAGCATTTGAAAGAAATCGAAAATAAAATGAAATGCATGGGGCATTTCAAGAATGTATTGCGGTAAATGTGTTCGCATAGGGGTACAATACACTTTGAGCAGGACCAATGAGAAGAGGGATACTCCTACATAGATTTCAACATCAGTGTCTAATCTGCACTTGAATCTAAAACATCTTCTTAGAGTTTAGTTTTTAAAACAAATTTGTTAATTCCTATTCACATATTAAAACTGTGCAAGTTCTCGTGTCTGTATTCTCAAATTTCAAGCATTAGAACTGCACAATAATTGGTACTTTCTGCCTTTATTATGGCAAGTTCTTTATATGTTTACATTGTGCTTCCCCCCCCACCCCCACCACTTGTGCAACTAGTCTTCCTTTGCCTTTGCACTTCTTGCTGTCCTTGGGACGTCCGCCCGACGTGAAAGGCGCTATACAAATGTAATTTTGTTGATGTTGTCCTTGGTGTGTCTCTTGGTTCCGTGCTCCCCCACCCACCACCCCCAATACCATGTCCCTCCCCCCGCGGCGCTATACAAATGTAATCTCGTTGTTAAAAAAAAACAAATTAGACAGTGTTGTGGTCTGATATCTGAGAATTGTTAATTAGCTGCAAACCTTATTGCATAGAAATGTTACAGCAGATAAGGAATTGAAACCACAGAATTAATTGTTATTCCAAATCATAAAGAAACATAACACAATTTTCAAAACAGTTCTGTGTTCAAGCTGGTGTTGCAGTCCGTTTTCAGAAATTTATCTACAAACCTTGCTGTATAACTTCTGAACTGTTCAATATCCACTAAAGTTCTGAACCAAATATCTTCATCCATGCAGTCTTGCTCTGTATGTTCACACAAACTGACCTATTTTTCTCTCTGCAATTCAGAGGTACAAAAGCCAAATGTAGCACCCTATAAAACCTTGGCCAACAACAGTTACCTATCTGTACACAATCTATCGAAATGAAATACACCACTATCTCGGACTGTATGGCATACTTACCAATTACACATGGCATTTATCCACTGAGTGAATCTGACAAAATGTTTCATTTGATTTGTAAAAAAAATGATGCACTAAAGCCGTTTGAATTGTTTTAGCAAAAACTACATATTGAACTATGTCCAAAACAAATACTTCATGCAGATGTTGTTTCTCCTAAGCAAGGGGCGAAAGAGAGGGTTTAACACTGACAGCCTCAGGTCCAAGAAATTAATATAAATATCCTTAACAGACAAGGGTTTGTTTTTGCCAACAGTATTTCTGCACAAATACACAATTACAGTCCAGATGATTTGAAATATTATAACTGGCGAACTGATTTACCCTATTTACAATGTACACTATTATACCAAGGGTTTTTAACACCCTGTAAAATTTGGTCTGGATTTAGTTTTCATATAAATTGCAAAATAATGAAGTTTCGAATAGTTTAAGCATGCCATATGGAATTCCATGGGCAGGTGCAGGACAAGTAGTTTATCACATATGTAGAGGTACAAACAGAACAAAATAAATTGTTGTTCAATGAACAAAGCAGATTACTGCAATATTCATAAAAACAAGTTTAAAAAGTTAGAAATGTTGTGAAAACAATTTTGGACTTCATCATTTTAGCACTGTAATCAACTTGCATTTATATTGCACTAATTCAGAACATTTTACACAACTGAATGGGATCGCCAGAGCTGGGGTGGGGGGGGGGGACTAGGAGGGGTTCGACTGACTAAAAAGAGAGGTCTAAAGGCAGGCTTTGAAAATGGAGAGAAAAGGAGCAAGGTGGATGGAGTCTTGCATGGAGTTCTAGATAGATGTACTGATGAATCACCCAACAAGTTCAGATGACAACAAGGTTGGGGGTGCTGAGCTCTATACTAAATTTCACATAGAATGAAATACCGGAGTGTAAGAGTGGTTTAGATGCTATAATCTGAGTTTGAACAAGCATTATAACCCACTTCAGATTCAACTTGTTTATGATGTTCTCTTTCTTACCTACCCGCCCCGTTTTCAACATCAATTATTTTTTACGAACATCAATAGAGTAGGTCATTCATTTGTTTTTCTCATCTAGACCATTTGCAAGGTAATCGCCCAGATCTGTGCGACAGTTAGCAAATTTCCACATACCCAATTTAATAGACAAATCTCTATTCAAGTTAGAATGCTGTGTGGTCCAACATCTGTGAATTATAAGTTATCTGCAAACTTTATTGCAGGTTAAATAGGTTAAAACATATAAGGAAAGTTAACTCACAGAAAAAATCATAATTTATAAAGATAATTTTCACAAACAGTTCTGTTGTCAAGATGGGTTTGTGGTCGGTTTTTATAAAAATTATCCATAAACTTTGTTATACAAAGTCTGAACTGTTCAAGGTCCACTGGAGATGAAAGGAAATATCTTCACCCATGCAGTCGCCACTGTATGTTAACAATTGAATGTCCTCAAGAAATCCAAATTTTTCGAGATCTGGGGACCACATGAAATGTGTGTAGTGGGTACAAGAAAGAACCTTTAAGGAAAAGGAGTTTGGCATTTTATCCAAGAACATCTGGACATAATTTCCATTACAAATGCATAACGTTTTCAAATGTTTTAATATGGTTTCCATCATGTATTATGAAATGAGAACAATAAACATTAGACAGTGCTTGCAACACATGAGCCAACACTGCCATTGCTTCCCTAATGTATTTCACTGCAGAACCAGATCATGCAATATCTTGAATAACTATAGAACACTGATAATCCAAATCCTGACCAAGACTGAGTAAAAACAGTAGGTATGAACAAACTATTACTGCTCTCCATTTCACAACAGTATAAATTAACGTTATATTAATTCATGCAAAACCCAATAACTCAAAATGCAAATGCTGAATTTTGTTTTTGTTGAATTGCATCCCAAATTAAGCAGCATTGGTAGAAAAAACACTAATCTGAGGCCAAATGTCATTTACTTTTGGGAGATGAAAACTGTTAACAGAATGAGAGGATCACCTGATGAATATCTACTGCAGACTTCCCCAATGAGCCAAGCCAGCCCAAATGGGGCTGAACTAAGCGTTCTGAGACGCTACCCGGCATGGAGGGCGCTAAATAGACGCATCTTGTTGTTACTTCAGATTTGTTGGACATACTCCTTCGAAGTCTATTAGGACATTATTTGTTGCGATTACCCTATCATGATGTCATCTACCTCTCCATTGAAATCCATCACTCTAGAGGCCAATTCTAGACAGTTGATGGCACAGCATAGATATAACAGAATGCATTTCAATCAATATAGTTAGGACTACCTAGTAGTATGAAACAAGTGTTTTAGCTTTCAAAACTTCTGATGGGATTAAAAGAGCTCGTGAAAACAGATGGTGTATCTAAATATACCACTGAACTTGGATCTAATAGCTTTGGACATTAATGTTCAACCAGTAGATAAGAAAATGATTGAGCATAATGATTCATAAAGTAGACAACACAAAAATAGGATTGGAAAATAATTAATATTTGAAATAAATTCTCCTCCATCTGAGGGTGTGAGAAGAATACGTGTCACTCAACGAAATATTTGTTTAAGACTGATAAAACAGTTTCAAATGTTTGTGAGTACATTACTTACAGTAAGTAGTCATGATTAATAGCTTTTAATGTTCCAACTGCGCCAAAATTCACTCAAGTGGGCCTGGCATCACAAACCATGAAGAAAACTGCAGTGCCTCATAAATGCCAGAAAAAGATCGGATTACTCCTGTGCATCTTCCATTCATAATTTATGGTGGAGTTTACAAATTCTGCACCATTCTCCTGGGGGCTAATGACAACGTGTATGCCAAAGAAATACTTTAACGGGTATTGTATAATGGATGTGCCCAATACCAAAGGAGAAATATCCTTTTAGCAGATAAGGCACAAGTCAGTTAATACCACTCATTAAAAACTAGTTACGATTTCCATTGAGAGCAAGAAGCAGTCATAAAACTAGGAATTGTATACTTTGGGGTTTATTTTTAAAAAAGGTAACAGAAAGTGAAGAACTGAAAGCTAGGAGGATCAATAAATGCAACCTCTGAAGCTTCCCATATTTGCAGACATTTCTGATGCAGTGGTACCCCACAATCAGTGCGATAATAATGGAAAAGGAGGTTAAGAAGGAAGAGAACAGTGGGCAAATGCAGCAGAAAATTTGGGACTGAAACGAGAAAAATGTCAGAGTGAGTAAAGGAAGGGCTGAGAGTGAAGGTTTAGCAGATCAGTAATAAACTGATCAATGAACTGCATTAGAGTTTTCAATTGGGGGCTGAGGACAAAACATCATTTTATACGGCCAAGTGCACAATCCGGCTGTCTGCTGTATCCTCTGTTGACTTTGATAAGAGGAGCCCATCTGAATACATTTGGAAATCACTCGTCTCGGCCTGGACAAGATGTTGCAACACTACTTCATTAAATTTGCTTTGCAGGCCAGCGTTTTCATTGAGCTGTACCCACTGTAGCACATCTGCCCACTAGAGATCAGAAAGCTCGCTTGCATCAACTACACATTTTACAGTCGTATGGAAAGTCCGTGTAACAACTTCAGTCAGTACGTTTTAGGGATAAGCACAATAGAGTGCTCACTGAGAACGAGGAAATTGTGCTCCCAATATCTTAAAACAAAATGCTCTACTGCTTTTAACCAAACAGAGCACACATCATGACAGTTGAGGAACTCCTCACTAAAATTCAGGACGTCTCTGGCCTAGGTAATGGCAACTGATGCATTCACAAAATATATCTAGGTTATACAGTAAAACTGACATTAAGTACCATCAATGAGGATCGTAAAATTTAATATGAATTAGGTGAAGTCCGTGTGACAGGCAAATTTGTATAGATCGTATAAAATTCAATATAATCAATAATCTGCACTGAGCGTGCGTAATTCAACGCAGTCGGTAAGTGTACATGCGACACCTCATTACTGAGGCCAGCAAGTGTGCATGAGGCTCCATTGAATCACAGGAAATGTACTTTTGATCAGTTTCCAGATGCGCACCTAATGGGAAGCATTGGAATTGCATTGAGTCACAAGAAATGAAGTTCTCCTGTGCACACGGCGACAAGTCAAGACGTGTCCTGCGATCCAATGCAGCCGGCCGGGAAGTGCGCACACATCGACAGGTCAGGATATCATTTCCTCCGATTCAATGTAGCTGGTAAGTGTGAGAGTCATGGAAGATAGGGGAACATGTTCTGAATTAGAGGATGATTAATATGACCTGTGCAAAGAAATCTAAGTGATTTTGATAGGAAATGGAATGGGTTCAGATGGATGGATGCCTCGGGCGATCATACGATTTAGAAAGATAAGACTTATGCGAGTTTTACTGTATTTTGAAAATCTCATGGATTGCGGTGTACATTAAAGATTTAAATGAGAGCTAGTGTTTCGTCTCAATGGCTAAAAGCATAATAGAGGAAGTGTATACTAATTTTCCCCATAAATAGTTATTAAAAAAGGACCCTGTCTACTTAAAACTATGTACTTTAATTAAACCAGAAATGACGCTAATGCTAATCATACTATGGATTTGAAATTCAATATTTTTATTTGTAACATAGGTCAAAGGGACAACATGTAAATATGAACGCTTCAATTGCATTTCCATTGGACTAAAGTCATAGCTATTAGATGCTTGGAATGATTTTTTTGCCATTAAGCTTGTGTCTAACAAGAGGTTACGATATGTGCATTAGCAGTGCTTATTTGCTCAGTTTTATATCCTTAAAGCTCCTTTGCTACTCTGTAGAATCATGCAATGAAAGCCAGCAGTTCAAGTCCCATGTCGAGATTTAGACTCAGAATCTAGGTTGACACTCCAATGCAATGCTAAGCAAGCACTAAATTGTTGGTGGTGCCATCCTCTGGCTAAGACACTAAACCACAGTCTCATCTACCTGTTCTGGCGGATATTCAAGATCCCTTGGCATTATTCAAAAAGAGAAAGGCACTTTGCCCGGTGTCTTACGCAAAAATCCCCAGATAAATGTGATCATTCACTTTTTTGCTGTTTGTGGAACATTGCTGTGCACAAGTTGGCTGTCGGTTCGCCTACAAAACGCAGTCTCTACACTTTACAGTAAAATCCTTTGAAACTCTTGAGATGTGAGAAGCCAGAAACAAGGAGATGTTGGCCAAGCAAAGGAGGATGCCTTCAATCTGGGCCAAGTTGAGCTTTTCTGTTCAGACAGAAAATCAACTTGTGCCTGAACAGTAAAATCCCAACACTAAAAGTCAGAATTGTATTAATGTTGCCACTGATGTTTGGGTTCAGAGCATTTGAACCAACAACAAGATTTCATTTATAGAGCGCCTTTCACGTCGGGAGGATGTCCCAAGGTGCTGGACAGTTGGGTCGGGACCCGAGCAGGGGGCAAATGGTCAGGGTGAGGGGAGGGAAGGGAGGAAGCGAGGAGGGGGTAAATGGTGAGGGGAGGGAAGGGAGGAAGCGAGGAAGGGGTAGAGAGTCGAGAGGGGAGCTGAAGGCACGGTCAAAGAGAAAGGTCTTGAGACCGGCCTTGAAGGACAAAAGGGAGGAAGCGGCGAAGGCACTGGGGGATGGAGTTCCAGAGCCTCGGGGCTGAAGGCCCGGCCACCGATGGTTGGGCGGTTAGGGCAGGGGATGTGGAGTAGACCGGAGCCAGAGGAATGGAGGGTACAGGCAGGTAAGTAGGGGGATAGTAGGTCGGAGAGGTAGGAGGGAGCAAAGCCGTGAATGGCCTTGTAGGTGAGGATGATGTAGGTGAGGACCAGCCCTAACAGTACAACTATGGTATAAGCTGCACAGCTCCTACCAATAGAATACTGGTGAACTCAAGGTAATAAATTACCTGTGATGATGGAAGGGAAAATTCCATAGAAGTTTCATCTCCATTGTTACTTGTTCTTCCTTGAAATTATTAAAATGGTACATTTTGTTTAATTGTCCCAGTTTTAATGCAACTTTCAATGATGAAAGATGATCCTTCAACATAGACATTAAAAGGAAAAATGTTCTTCCAAATAAATCTAACATTTTACACTCAGAAGTTTGAAATCATTATATCTTTATATTATATTAAATCAATTAGAAACAGGAAAAATCCAAAACCAGATTGAACAAAGAGAACTTAGGACTCATTAACTTACAGAATTCCTAAATTCCCCAGGAAATGAGGTGCAGATGGGGCAAATCAAAAAGAAATCAGGCATCTGTACTTGATCAGACATTGGGTGTATATATAGGGAATAAGATGGGCAATGTTAAGTTGGTTTTCTTAACTTATAAACCAGGAAATGGCCTGCCGGAACACAGGAAGAAAAGCTAATTGGCTGCATTTTTATTTGGAAATCAGACTCTGTGGCTGTTTTGGGGGGGGGGGGGAGAGCGAGACAAACATCCACCTTCGTAAATGATTTCCAAGACTGGTCTGGATGAATAAAACTCTTTTCCCCTCACTTCCCTCCAGAACAACTGCCCTACCATTACCCCAATCACTGCATCAAGCTGCTTTTTAAATTAATCCTGGCCTGAATGAATCACTGATTAACTTCTACTTAAAGAAAACTTTCTGGGTATCTGTCCTGAAATTCCCCTTTTCAACTCTAAATCCACGTCCTCTCGTTCTTCTGTCAACAACAATAACAAGAACTTACATTCATATAGCACCCCTCACTCAGGGTAGTGTCCCAGAGTGCTTGACAATGGTAGAGCACGACGCCGAGGGGGAAGGCGGAGGTGACCATAGGCACAATCAAAGTCTTCAGGCAAGACCTGAAGATGGGGAAGGACGGGTCAAGGCAGAGGGATTGATACATCCTAAATTATTCCAAGGAGCACAAAAAAACGAAATTGTCCACATTTATAGTATTATTGTTACAAGTGGATAAACTGATCAAATGGTTATTGGTATTCATAATAACTTACTGCCATGAGTCTAAATGGGACACAAATAGCACTGCAGCTATATAGGTATGATAACCTGTCAATCTGTGCTTGGAACGGAAGTAAAAATATCATCTACTAGTTGACACAAGGTCTAACTCAGATTCTTAAAATACTGTTCAAATCAATCACCTATATGTCAATACTCATCACAAATACAATACAAAATTATCTTTGTATAGCACCTTTCACATCGGGAGGCTGCCCCGAGGTGCTGGACTGTCAGGGATTTGGACCCGAATGGGGGGGGGTTGGGATAGGGGAAGGTGAAGGATAGGGAGGGTGACCGAAGGCATGGTTGATGAGGAGGGTCTTGAGACATACCTTGAAGTAGGCAAGAGAGGAAGCCAGGCAAAGGGAATGTGGGATGGAGTTCCAAAGGGTGGGAGCAAAGAGGCTGAAGGCCCAACTGCTGATGGTGGGCAAGGCCGGGTGGGGGATATGAAGCAGGCTGGAGCCTACTGAGCAGAGGGAGTGGACAGGTTGATAAGGGGTTAGCAGGTCACAGAGGTAGGAAGGGGCAAGGCCATTCAGGGCCTTGAGGATGAGGATGAGTATTTTGAACTCTATCTTCTGAGGGATGGGGAGCCAGTGGAGCCAGACAAGGGTGGGGGTGATGGGGTCATGGACCCTGGTGCGGGAGAGAACACGAGCTTGTGGAGGGAAGAATTGGGAAGGCCGACAAGCAGGGAGTTGGTGTAGTCGAGCCTGGATGTGATGAACACGTGAATGAGGGAGCCTGAGGGGCAAGGCAGTGGGTCACGACCCACATACAAAAATCAAACATTTTGAATGAGGAGAGAGTAAGGACAGAAATCAATCATTTACAACAGTAGAAATCATCCTTGCTAGCAACATAGGCTAAATATTGTACAATAACTGGTCATTTCATATAACCTCAATACAATGTTGAAATGTGGCATTTCAGCAATGTATTGGTAATTGCTGTCAAGATTGTTTATTTGAGGTCAAACACAGCAACCAACATTATAGTCCTAGCACAGTGCCACCAAAATCCATAAACTGAAAGATCAATATATCTGGAGGTTTGTTGGACAGAACACTGAGAGAAATTCCCTTCTCTTTTAAGTACTGTTGTACAATTTCAACATCAGAAGTGACCATCAATTCAATGTCTCAAATAACAATGAATCACTCCACCAACACTGGAGTATCAGTGCATTTTACTTCATTGCTTATGACAAATATAGGTAGATAATCTTTAAATAAATCCCAATAAGTTATCTAAAAGCATATTTTAGCCATCAATTTTCAGATTGGATCGAGTCTGGAGCTAGACCTGCAAATCCGCAAACTTAACAGCTGAAAGAATGATCTCTCACCAGCTGTTATGAATGGGAAGATCAGCAAAATGATAAAAGCATATTAAGAAAAATACAATATACTGTATTAAATAAAGAATTTTAATTCTTGGTTTAAATTGTTGTGGTGAAGGAACATGGAATGCACCAGAGCTCTATGTGGCACTCTTGCAGAATACTTTAGTGGAATCCAAGATCTGCCCTACCATATAATTTAATCTTCAAGGATGTAGCCTACATGAACAATGCGATAAACTCAAACCAGGTTGTTTTAAACAAAAGACCAAAGGCTGAACTGTTAACCAGTCAGACGGAACAGTGCTACATTTTGACATCATATTATTTCCATCAACGCTGCACAAGCAAAACACTGCCAACAAGTTCTAGTGATCTTTACCAGCTACTGGTTTGAAAGGAAAGACTCGTTAAAAGTCATACAACTAGAACCACAGTCAGTAGATATGTACTGCATTCTTACTGTAGTGTAATAATTGAAGGAAACATTTGTTTCCCATTTTAAAATCAGTCAAATATTTAGCTGCTTCCTCTCTTGCAATCTGTAATGAAGATGGCGTAGTGGCACAGTACAATTCAGCATTGACCAATATGTTGTGTCAACAATGGTGGAGCACATGTTAACAGCCAGGATTTCCTAACAGTTCCCATTCTCTCATTTTGGCACCAGCTTAGCCCAGTTGGTAGCACTCTCATTCACTTCTGAGTCAGAAGATTGTGGGTTCACAAGCAAGTTGACAATCCAGTGCAGCACTGGGAGTGATTTTGTATTGTTGGAGATGCCTTCCTTCAGATGAGACGTTAAACTGTCTGCAAGTTCTGTCTGTTTGTTCCGGTGGATGTTAAAAGATTGCATGGCACGACTTGAAAATTGGCCGGTGTCCAGGCCAATAA